ATTATTTGAACGTACCAATTAACAAATGTATTAAAACCTACACACACACGTAACAATATTGCCTATACGATGCGCCGTCTAAAAACATTCACGATTTAGATTTTTAATTTTTTACTTTATACGAAAACGTGCCAGATACCTGTTAAAAGTAATATCATGGAAATCCTACAGTAAGTGCAATAAACTTGAGTTCATATTCCCATTTTGCATATTTTTGCATAGGTACTACGTGACTTGCGGAATTCAAAAACCGCTTTAAAGTTTTCGGCTTTTTCATAAATTCATGAAACGTAATTGTATGGAATTTCATTGCACGTGGTTAAAAACTATTATAATCTGTATGCATATAATATTCTATAAATATGATTATTTCCTGGAAGTTAATGAACATTTAACAGAAATATAATTTAACAAAAAAGAGAAAAAAAAGGTTTTCTGTAAAATACAAACAATCTCCCACGAGGATTTATTAATTGCCATAACTCCGATGTTAATAAAGATATTTAAATTCTGTTTTATCATTATTCATAATTCAAATACAATTTATAAAAAGAAGCAACAATTCAAGTGGATAATAAAAATATAACTAAAATAAGATTGATTAGATTTATAGTTTTAAAGTTTAAATGCTACCATTTTTTTTTTTTTTTTTTTTATAAATATAAAAATATATACAAAAATAATAAATATCCAAATTATGCTTAATGATTTTATGATGAATATTAAAAGTGATGATTTATAGAATAACAATTTTATAAAACTATATATAAAAATTATACTTTTATTACAAATAGTTAACAAAATATTATTTATATACTTAGATAGGGCTTGTATACGTTAATGGTTGCATATGAATGTAAATTCATATAAATACCTATTTGCAAATCGGTCCATCATAATTTTAAGTACCGATATATCTAATCCGTAATCACGATCGAATTATAATATTAATCTCGAATCTATAATAGTATTATGTATTAACTCGTTGGATATATAAGTTTGATTCCAGCGGAAGAGGGCATAAGTCAATTTTTAGGTTTTGTTTTTCAAATTCTAAGTGGGGCGAAAAAGCGAAGAGGCCTACAGCTTTACAAAAATATTTAGTTTTATTTTTTCTGTTGATAACATTGCTACCTGAGATCTTGCTCCAATGTTTGTGTGTTCACCTTTTCTGAAAAGAAATCAGTGTGGAGAGGTACTTTAGAGACGTCGTTTTTCGATTTTCTCAGAAGTTTTCTCAACAAATGTGAAAAACCGAAAAAAAACAAAAAGGTGTAAAAACGGGAAAAACGTAGGGAAAACGGAATTCATTTTAATTTTTGAATTAGAATAATTGGAATATTACCATAATATGACATATTGTTGATAAAACAGCATTATCAACTGAACTTCGCTCAGAATCGTTTTTTTTGTTAGCGATGGTTTATCGCTTACAGGTCTACATTAAATTATTTATAATAGTGGCTACACCCTGTACCTGTCCCCATTATCCTAGGACGTCTTTTTTTAATGCTTAAGTTAAATATATACATTCAAAGACATACAATTCTATAGTTTATTCAAACTATCGTATGCTATTCGATATTTTAACAATTATTGTCAACAATTCTTTTAAAACTTTTAAAAAAAAAAAACTACATTTGGTACACTTTTTGAAACAAAATACATTTGTTTTTTTCTCTGTAACCTACCCAACATGGTTTTGCAATACGAATTCTCAGTAATCTCTTGGTAACCGAACCGTAGGTCCAAAATAACATAAGGTAAAGGACCGGTGTTGCAAGTAAAAAGGTAGTACAATTTATTTAACAACTATAGGACCATTATTTTTTATGGGATTACTTAGCACGACCATTCGGTCGTGAGCCTCTCCACTACGTCAAGATAATCCCCGTCGGAAGGGAACCTAACCCAACCTAAACTTTCAGCGATATTGTAGAAGATGAAATCACTAAAATTAAACGTAATGACCAATAAATATCGTAAGCACAGGTAAAACATTAGCTAAACATAATAATCTCAGCAACAGAAGTATCAACAAGTAGTTTTACAATCTACAGTAATAAACCCTGGAATTCCTGATAAAACAACGAGAACAATAGACCTATGCATAATAAAAATAATATCCTAAACAAAACCTAGCACTCGAACCGAATTCCTAATAAAAAACATTTTTAAAAAACTCATGAAAATAGTTTACAACAACATTCACTCTAAAACTATATCATCTAATATATGAAAAAACAAATCGTTTCATTAAATATGATCTTAACAGCAATCAAGAAATACGCATAACAAATGCTCAAGGAACATCAATTCCTGGTGAGGTTACGAAGAAATTGGTACATACTTTTAAGCAAATTTCAACAAAAAAATTTGTAAACGAAATAAATAATTCAACCGAAAATATACCATTAAACGCAATAATAAATTTAAATAGCAGTAAACAAATCGACAGAACACAAACATAACATTTAACGAAATGGAAAAAAGCACTTCAAAAATATTAATGCAAAAGCTCCAGCAGCATACCATATTGTTTTATTATAGCTCTTGGGAAAACAACCAAAAAAATGTTTATTAAGAGTTTACTGTAATATTTGGCACACAAAAGTCAAACGAAAAATACTGTGTACAAAATTTCTACCAGAAAACTTAATCTGATGCATACGATATAATCCTTTTTTTGAACGGAAATTTTCTTGAGGTGCTACTTTAAAAAGGTCATTTTTCGATTTTCCCAAGATTTTTCTCAGAAAATTTGAAAAACCGGGAAAATACATGGTATAATCGTATGGAAAACGGGAAAATCAGATCATTATTAAACAAATATAATTAAAGAATATATATAATGCCTATTTAATAAATTAATATATTACCATAATATGATGTATATTATTAACAAAGCAACAATATTAACTGAACTCCACTAAGAATCGTTTTTTTATAAGCATTGGCTTATCGTTGCTTACAGATATACATTCTGCATAATTCCTTCTGTATCCTACATTTTCAACACCCCAGCTACAACATTAGCTGTACCCACGTACGAAGTATGTCCGTCTTATTTTTATAAAATTTTATTGTAATTTGATTCCTTTAGTTTTTCGGTCTAAATTATATAAGTACCTACGTATTTTCAAAACTAGTAAACTTGTAGTGTTTTAGTATTTAGTTTATTAGTTTATATAAAAGCGTATGTATTTTTAAAATTGAATTTATTTTGTAATAAAAAATATAAAAAGATGGACATACTTCGTTCGTGAATGCAGCCACTATTATAGGTGAAAAGTTGGGAAGGTAAGATACAAACGGAAATTTAATATATATCTATAAGCATTGATAAACGAAAAATGATTCTGAGCGAAATTCAATTGATAGTGTTACTTTGTTAAAAATATTTATGTCATATTATGGTAAAATGACATATGCAATAAACATTTTCATTAATAATATTTGTTTAATATTGTACCTATTATCCCGTTCTCTGATTTTTTCCATTTTTTCTAATATATTAAAAAAACTTCTGAGAAAATCAAAATATGACCTCCTAAAGTATCTCCTCAGTAAAATTTCCTTTCAGAAAATTGCTATCATTGTAAATCAGAACAAAATTGATGGTAGAAAAGTTGTTCACAGATAGAAAAAAAAACAATCATCATTGTAAAATCAAAAGCTTCTTCACTTCACTCAGAATCTAAAATTAACTTCAGACTTTTTCCCCCGGAAACAAAAATACATTACTTTCCAACTAGAAAAATCGGTCAAAAACATAAATGTTAAAATGTTCTTAAATTTTCCGAACATTGTATAGGTACAATAAGTACATTGTTCGTATTGCCGATTTGTCTTTGGGCAAAGTAGACAAAATCATTATATTACACTACATTATAATTGGGTAAATATTCCCGGTCTTCCCTTTTTTTATAAAATAAAATAAATTAAGGGGTTATTTAATAATTAAATGCGGTTTTTAATTTTTAATTATTTTCTTATGTGCAAAATATAATGTATGTTTTACAATAACTGAGCTCTATGAAAAAAATGTAGATATTTTCTTACTTTGCACACTGCACATGCATCTAGGGCAATATGCACATTGCCCGAAATTTTCTAATATTGACCAATTTCCTACGTTGAATATGGCATATGCGTTACACATACACTGTAAATATTTGTTTGTATTTGCATAAAGAAATAAACATACGAACGAATTGGAAGAAATATTTTGAAAATGAAATCGAAAAATAAAAAATAAGATTGAAATATGATGCGTCTTGTTGACAGTTTATAAGTATCTAGATCATAGGCGCCGATTTTACGGCACCAACGGACACAAGCGCCCCCGTACTTTGGTTTTAACTTTGATTATAACTGGGGTAAAACGTAAATACAGTATTTTAATTTTGAGTTTTGACAAGAAAAGGTTCATCAAAACAACTTATTATCGAAATATAACTAGTGATAAAATACTGCGATTATGTAATTTTTATATAAATCTAATATATTTACAGACCTAGTAACACAGATATAAACAACAAACATAATAGTTAATTATTTATATCTTATTGTATTGAAATGGACGCCAAACAATTTATCGATTTACAAACTATTTATAACCTGTACTATGGCATTTTCTTGTCTTCTAAATTGTATTGACTATTCTACAATACAATACTTACTTGCACTTCTGCAAGATCACTTTCCATGTTAAGAATATTAAAAAACTATTCAAAAAGCACTATAACACAGAACCGGTTGAATGAATCGGCAATTCTAAATTGTTAACAAAACAATTGTAGAATCTTTAGACTATACATAGAAAGATAGGAAATATATTTATCAACAAGTGTTCGACAAGAAAAAATACTTTTACATTGAAATGAATATATAATAAATAAAATGTATTTTGTAAGGACCCAATACTTTTTTTCAAATAACTTTATTATACGTTTAACACCTTATGTTTAATTTCAGTACATGGGAGCTTCGATGGTATTAGCTCCGGCAACTGTCACATACGCCACAGTCAACCAACAAGACATGTTCAACATCTGAAATATGACCGAAATCAAAAAAAATCGAAAATTTGAGTCAGAAAAATACTCGTGACAAACAAAATTCACGATTTACCAATCGTAATGAATTTTTTTTTTTTTTTACACCCATTATTATTTATATCCTACTCTGCCTCCATCCTATATTGATACAACGATAATAATGACATCTCTAGTACAAGTATTATAATATTTCTAATCTTTATCTCTTTAGACAAATATCCGGTGTCCATGGCTAGTGTCACCCCTCCCCCCCTCCACCAGTAAGGTTGAAAACCGACGAAAAATTGGGAGAAATTTAATAAAATTACGATAGATTTTTGTGTACTTCTAACCATCTTGTTTTTATATGAACACTCTACCCTAGCTGAAATATGTGCTCACTTCGAAGTTCTCCGTCAAATTATTATTATGATTACCTTATTATCGTTATGATTGTTAATGAGTTGTTATTTTTTTATAATTATTAATTATTCGAATAGACGTCACGACGTGATTAGACTATAGACTTACCCAGAAAACGTATGTATACCTTTTCGATCATATCACGCGTAAGGATAAACATGGTAAATGGTACATTTTACCCAAAGCCATGCAATATTTTGTTTCCTCTTGTTTTAAATCCTTTTTCGCAAAATTGTGTTCCAAATACATAAATGTTATTGTATTCATGATGTAAAAAATTGTTTAAAGTGTTTATTGTAAATATTAATTGAAAAATATGTTGTTACAGGGATTTATCCAAACATTTTTCAACATTTTATTTGTATTTTAAATAATATTATAAAAATCAAATCTATGGGGAAAAAAATCGGTTCGCAATTATTATAAATATATAAATATAATAATTATAGTTTTATTAATATTTCATTTAAAACTAAAAATTCATAAAATATTTTACAATTATCCGTCTCCTGCAAAACTTTGGCTAATTATATCCGAAATACTCTTTAAAACGGTTTAAACCTGCGAGGCAACGTCGTCAGGTAATGTGAAAAGCTATAGTCATTATATATATTTCAGTACTTTACGGTAATTTTCTTTTTTATCCGTTCATTGAAAAAATGTAATCCATATATTCAAAGTATTCGATTATCATATATAGAAAGAAATATAATATGTATAGTACATTTAAAATTATTAGTTTTTGATTTATTATACATTTAACACTTAAAACTAAAATACTCCTCCAATTTACTATACACCCCACAAATATATTCTTCGGAAAGCAGGCGTGATGATCCCGTGATCTCTGAGTAACGTTGGGCCTTCCATTAACAAGGGTTGACGTTGGGCTAACGATTCAACACTTAAAACAAAAACTAACAATAGCCTCGGGTGCACAGTTCGAAAATTTAGTTTAAGAACTTGAAACGAGCAGACGGCATATGCAGCCGTTTTGACTATAGAAACATATCCGGTATATATTAAAGTGCCTATCCAAAAAGTGAGATAAACAGAAACAGGAAATATAACATGAAATAAATATACAATATTTTATAGCTGTGACACCCAACATGAATCTGAAGTAAGCCTTATAGTCAACAATAATATACATCCATATTATGTTAAGAAGTTCTTTAGATTGAAATTTCTGGATCCAGGACGTGAGAAATAGTGTGGGATCCTACGCAGACCACTTTCTAACACTATGATCTAAATAAAGCTGCCAAAACAATGGACCAAGAAAGCCTAAAGGCAAAGCAAAACAGAATGTAGAGAGCATGAAGAATTAAATAACTTTACGAAACTACAAACATACAATAACGCCTAAGTTAAATGTAGTGAAACAAACACAAGCCTTTTAAAAGAAATGAGAAAATCTTAGAACCATAATTAAAACAATAGTGGAAGAAACAATTGCACACGAAGACAAGATAAAAATATCTAAATGGTTCTACGCCAACTGAATAAAGATTGAAGACTACAGAAGATAGAGACAGAGCAAGATCGAAAGTATTAAAACACAACTCAGAAAAACAAATGCAAGTTTAAGCACAAAATCAGAGATTGAAAACATGTATTAATAAGGGAAAAACAAACCTGGAAAGAAATAAAAATAAAAACATTGAAAAGGAATATCCAATCTCGAGCAATTTTTTTTTTTTTTTTTTTTTGAAATAACAAATGAGCTATCAAAGAAACATAAATCAAGAACACTGATCATCAACATCAGACAACAATAACACTCTTAATAAAGAAGTAAACAAATTCAGAGAAATATTTAAATAATTGCTAAAAACGCCAATGGACGCCACTCAAAGGGACATAAAGTATTTAACTGTAGAATCAGAGGATAAAATACTTAGTCAGAAAGATTTTATCGAGGCTGAATTATTAAAGAACAGTGGATAAAAATTAACACAAGTAGTATGAAACCTAATCATATACCTGTGTACAGACAGCCGAGAGGATTTTACTGGAGTGGAACATATCGATAATATGCCCTATATACAAGAAAAGGAACCTCATAGACTTCAAAAACTACAGGATCTCCCTACTTAACACTATATAGGTACAAAATCCTACCAAACCTACACTAAACCGATTAAAACCATACGGTAATAATATTATAAAATATTAGAATGGTTTCAAGTCAGGTAAATTTAAAAATAGACCATATATTCACATTTAAACAAGTAATAAAAAAGTACGAAGAATTTAATAAGCCACTAAACTTAATCTTTGTAAACCTCAAATAAGCATAACACTAAATGTAGAGAACAGAAATATGGAGATGTTTACAGTTATTTGGAGTTCCCTTAAAATAAATATTGATGTTTAATGCGAGTACAAAAGGATCAAAATTCACGATTAAATTTGGTCACGAAAACTCAGAACAATTCCAAACAACAAGGATAAAACAAGGCAACGCGCCAATCACTATTACTCTTTAATATCGTGTTAAAAGCAATAGTAGAGTACAAAACTAATAGGTTTATAATAATCAACTGGGTCGAAATATTCCTCTGTTAGCATAGATATTCTGATGACGTCGTCATATTGGATAAAAATGAGCAAGGTATACAAAAATGAACAGAATCTTTGATACAGACTAAAAAACTAGTATTAGTCATTAACGAGAATACAACTTAATACAAACATATCTCCATGAACTAACTTCAAATGCAACAAACAACTAGACTACGAGTTACAAAGTATATGTTGGGAAGGAAGTGAACAATTTTTAATATTTAAACCCCGACCTAAGTAATATAAATGGTAATCACGATAAGAAATTAAAAAACTAATTATACAGGTACTAAAACTAAAGTACACAGGAAGAAATTGTTTCTATACACTACCGGAGTTTAGGGATCGAAACTGCTATCCAGGAAATCGAAATACCAAGACCAGTGATAATGTACACATGTGAAACGTAGCCCATGATCCAGGAAGATGAGAGAAAACTAAACATCATGGAGAAAAAATTCTTTAAGATTTATGATACGTAACTATGAAATTAGATAGGTAGATAGATTGAAGTAGGTACCTACAGGAATTATTCGAAAACCGAATATAATAGCCAAAATACGATACAAGAAACTGAATGTGGTCATATAATGAGCAGTAAATTAATTACAAATGACGTACCTACTAAAATAGAACCACGGGGAAAGAGACCGACGCAACTTGGAGCAGACATTTATAATATAGTAGGTAGCTCAGAATAAAGAAATAGGTATGGAGAAATCTTTGTTTTGATACAGTGATCCTGTCAATTTTCTTTAAACCTGAAAAAAAAACAACACAAATTAACTATAAAAAGTACGTAAGTTGGTCATTTTTAGGATTATACAAAGGAGACGGACTTACAGTTAATTACAAGGTAAAGAAAAATTTAAGCTGAAATATCGAAATCATATTAGTTTCTTGTTTAGCCAATTTAATCAAATTTAAGCTCAAAATACCTACACATCAGTACATATTTTTTTTAAATAGACTTATTTATTTTAAAAAAAACACAGATGTATTGGATAAATCTCTGGTATTTATTTTAAGTTATCGTGTTTAAGAAGAAAGTATATCCTCGATGACCCTTTGGAAATTCTACGCAATGCAATTAATTTCCCTTTTTTCTATAATTCACAAATTTAATTTAACTTTCATTTTATTTCGGGATATTTTTGCTGTTTTCAATAAATGATTGCAACACCATATTATTATCAAAAACATGTTTAGACTTAGAAAAATAATACTTAAAGAAACAAAATGAATAAACGCAAAATCCATAATAGGTATTATTTTGATAATTTATAGTTATTTTTATTTTTAATCAAAAAATAATATACATCATAATAGTCACATTTTAGTCTTTTTTTAATTTATCAAACTAAATAATGTTTTATTTTTAAAAGACTTGTCTGTTTAAACAATACATAATTACACGATTGTAGTCAATGATATGAACATCATAAACTTATTGTTATTTGTACTAAGTTTTGATTTTAGTGATCACGTTTATGTTATTTTTGTACTGTATTTTATTTTAATAACTAGATAGGTGTTTTATTGATAACATTCCTGCCATTTTTTGAACTGTATTATGAGGATAAACATACTCGTATAATATAATTTAGGTATTTAAATGAATAATTAAATTAATTTAAACAATTATTCTTTTCATGACATATTTTATTATATGTTATGAAAAAATACGTTTATGTATTACATTAATTTTTTGTAAAATGTACCTACTTCACATTTTCAGGGAATATCATTCTCTTAAAATCTAGTCATATTTACCACGTTTATTAATCCTTTTTGATAAAATTGAAATCAGAATCGAATTAATTGTACTTATACCACTACTAGTAGTACATACTTTACAAATGTATAAAATAAACCTAATACCTGTTTTATATAAATAAGTTCATATTAAGATTAAAATTTTATTTACGTTGATCATAATAATAATAAATGATCTCTTTTTCTTTGTAACCGTTTTATTTTATTGTACGGCAATATTATAGTTACTTATCTGACCATTAACAATTAAAATACTTTAAGATCAAAATACTTTTTCCTTTTTTTTCTTAATTTGATTAATAATTCTGTATGAATTTTGGCTGTTGTTGTCAATCATTGTTTCCCAATCATCCCAGTCCATTGTAAGGTCCACGAGTCAAGTAAAAATTTAAGACAAGGGTGACATACCCTAAATAATTGGGATAGAGGTAAAGGTAAAGATAATGAAGAAGAAAAAGTAAGTACTCGTCAAAATCATTTACTATTACTAAACCTTAATGTTTGAATTTTTGACTCCAGAAAACCGCTGTTTATTCAATTTATTTCAAGTACCTACCTTAATATCGTAAATGAGAATAGCAAGATCTACAAAATGCCTTATTTGACTACATACCAACAATAAATATAAAACAAATTAGTATAAGTTTATTATAATATTGAAAAATTAAAAATACAATGCCACACATTACACTGAATATAACCGTACAACTTCACAGTCAACTAACTAGTTACTTTCTAGGTCTCTATGGGTTTACCTGATGACTTATTTTGATATAGGTAATTAAAAATCTATGTATTTAATATTTTCTTAAGTTACAAATTATTGATTATACACTTTAGTTAGTTTGATATTATATTAAAACAGATATGAATGATTGATAAAAAAAGGAAAAAAACAAGTATACTTTGCATATGGTTGAGCTACTGTTTTAGATCATAAGTTGGGAAGTTAATTTCAAACATATCTTGCCATCTTCTTACAATTCTTTTAATTTGTCTAAACCGTATGCAAAATCATACAATTTTGATCTTTTTTTAATATTTTTCTATATTTACATTGCATATGTTTAATACATGAATGATTAAGATAACAATATATTCTACTAATTAGCATCATCTTTATTCTTGCCTTTAATATTTTAGAACCCTTGCCACTTAGCCAGTGTTTGATTATGTAATTAAAAAATTCAAATGATAAATTATCGAATTTTACTTGTTTCATTATATCTATTTTTAGTTTAATGTTTATTCCGATAAGCCAATAGTAAATCGTCGGTTATATTAAATTGTGTATCATTGTTATAAACTAGTTTAACATTCTGACCATTGCGACAATGAAAAGATTAGACATAATAAGCCTTATAATAATAATCATGTTTCTAATAACAATTATTCATTTGTAGCTAAACTATATTAATTTTGTTAGTTTTAAATGGAAATTAAGGTCTTAAAAGTTAAAACTACTATAAATTCCAACTTGAAAAAATTTGCATCACTGCAATGAAAGGGGGCGCCAGTAGGGGATACACCAGAAAAGTCCTATTATCCTGGTAGGCCTATCTGTCCAGTGTACAGATAATACAACTAATGAATAAAAAAATTAAAAAATTTTGTAACTTATTATATTATTTCAGGCAGATATTAAATGTTGCTGTAATTGCAGTAATTAAGGAAGAACATTAGCTTAATAGCCAACAATAATAATAAATGGAATATAATGTATTCATTCACAATTAGTTTTTTAAGACAGCCAATTTAATTTTAATTTTTTTTAACAATAGTATAATTTTGGTTTTGTATTACAAAATATTTTATGTTGCTGCAAATTAAAAATTATAATGTATCCTTTGTTAAATTAATTAAAAATACACATTCAAAATTAAATAAAAACAAATTCGTAATCAGATTGAATGATGTAATAAATAAATTTGTTAAATTTAAATAAATATTACTATCTTGACATTTGATAGGTGATCATAAATATTCAAAAACTTGGTATTTCTGAAAAATCCATTTTTGGCATTGGTGGTAATGAGTATGGTTCCATATCTGGCTCTCCTAAAATACATAAAATATTTATTTATTCAATTCAGGTATTATACACAATAATAGGAAAATTATAGTTACACAGAATCTAATATATTTACCAAAATTTTCAAATGTATTTTGGATTTTATTAATCATTATCTTATTATAATCTTCAAGAAACCAATTATCATTGCCATTTTTGAAATTGAAAAAGTCGCTCAACATGCCAATATTACAAGTCATACTAGAAGGCAAGGAATCTATAAAATAACAATCATAATTAATAAACAATTTAAAATGTAAAAAGAAAATTCTAGTATTGACTATTTGTAATAATTTCCATCACTAAAAAAATAAACTCTGAGCATGAGAATTTACAAGGCTTTCTATTGGACACCCAGTAAAATTAAATTTTACATACTGAACATCCACTAGAAAATGAATGGTAAATTATTACTGTATTAGTTAATTTTGCAAAAAGAAAAAATGTATTTGTGAATAGGAAACACTCTCAGTTTGGAAGAGTAACTGAGGAAAGGCAAAAATTTTAAATTTGATCTTTCTGCTCGGGATACTTTTCTAAGAAAATGGGAGTGGGTATGCAGCGAGTATTCACTAAAAAATGATCAGACTCTAAGTCATTACACTAAAACTAGATAATTTGTCCAAATAAATAAAACTATCTAAGTTAGTAATTTTGTTTCAACTAGTTAAAGGTAAGTTACTTTATTATAAAAACTAATGAAGTAGAATATAGGTTGGTTTCAGAAATTTCTCATATTTCAAACTTAGTAAAAATAAAAAAATTAAATTGAAACTAAAGTTAGAAATTTGTTTGTTTTTTTTTTATAATTTAAAAACTAATAACTGAATTATTGGTAGTAATTGAATTGATCATTTGATCAAATATTTAAAATATTAACCTTAATTTATTTAAAATAAATACATACAATATATTATACAAATACCTCATGAAACATACAAGTCGCACAATTCATACAAAAAGATAATGCGCACATTTCAAAACTAAAATAATCATAGGTTATTTGAATTTTACTGCCACCGATGCAGCTTGTGCAGACCTTAACTTACTATATTTAAAATATATATATGTAAAATTAACAACGTACAATATTTATTGTAAATACATGTGGTTTAAACCATGTATAACAAAACATTTAATATGTTAAAAGTTATATAAATTATATATCACAAAATTGTATCTAGTACATTTCATAATCCACAACACGGTCTAGTCTCTAATGTGACGAAACATAGGAATATTTTTGTAATGATTAAAAATAATTAGTTACTTTATGTTTTTAACGCGTTAAAATGTTACTTTAAAAGTAACTTTCCAACTTAACTTTAACTTTCTAACTAATTTTAGATATATCAGTTTCTGCTGCTCTCTACCTCCTTTGAATCACCTCATGCTATAAACAAGAGTTATTGTAGTCCTATTTTAACCCCAAACCATAACGGTTTTTTATGCATTTAAATATAAAGTGTGAATACTTCATTAAAATTTATTTCATTTTGTCATTTTAAATTTATTGTTTTTAATATTACCATTTTCCAGTAGTGATGAACAGTTAATATGGTTAAACTCATCATTATTCTGATTGTAGGAGATGTCTGCTGATGGTGATTTACATTTGACATCCATCTCAAACTTATCCATGGTAAAAGCTTTCAAATTTTTGAGACTTTTATTAGGGCTTTTTTTTTTTGTTGATTGAACCGTGTTTGTCAACACTTTCAGAGCACTTTGTTTACGATTTACAATCAATGTATTTTCTACAAAATATAAAAATAAATTAATAAAATGATACGCAGACTAAATCATCTATTTAGGTATAAATTGCATAATATTGAAACAATTCTAGTTTAGCATACTAACAATTTTTTATCAATTTATTTTTTTTGAAATATGTTTTTTTGGATGTACATTAAAAATGTCGAAAAGTCGTACAAACTTCATATGGATGTTAAAGAAAAATCTTCAAAAAATTCCTATTTTTATGTTACACTTGTTTCTTAAACAGATTTTAATATTTGTTTTTTCCATAATGTAAAATTTAATACTTAATCCAATGATTAATTAAGTTAATCAAATCATACCTATCATACTAACTATTAAAAACTTTGTACAAAAACCTTGAAAAATAGTTGAAAATTTGCATTAATAAAGAAACTATGGGGGTGCAGATGTGTGTGATGCACTGTTATGCCAGGTGACTTCGTTCCCTAACTTTAGCAACAAAGTGCATCCTTCTTTAATCCCTCCTTTAATGATGGGGAAAAAAGGAAGCAGCTCGGTTACTTAACCAAATTTGCAACATAATACTACTGCAAGGAGTGTAATTGTAAACCAAAACAGCAATCTTCACTACAAAAGAACAGGTCTTTGGCCACTTAAATTTAGTAGCTCCACAAACTCATGTCAGATTTTTGATAAAATACATTTATATGTATAAATTTGTTATGCAAAACCACATTGGATACCTAGGGAACTAGATACAACAAATAAAAAAATGAAATTGATTATAGTTTAAGAACAGACACTTTAAAAATAAATATTATTCTTAAATAAGTTTTGATATATTCTGTAATAATACCAATGTATTTAAAACCACTCAAGAAAACAACTTTTCAAAAATATTAAATTCTAACTGAAAATTCGAGTAACAGAAATCAAAACTTATTGAAGTTTTTCCCATAACTTCCAAATAATGAATACGTCCAGCTTATTTTCACAATTTCAATGTACCTAGGCTCGAAAACATAATTTAAAAAATAATGTATCAAAGAAATTGTTTGATATACAAAACTAGAATTATGCCGAATAATTTACATTATATACAAATATTTTGTCATGCTTTTAACTATAATTTTAGTACTTACTAATATTTTTTACGGGATTTTCATTATTTATTTTAGTCATTTGACGTTGGCGGATGATTTTGGAAGACATTTTAATACAATTTAAGCAATACCGACTTTCAGAAAACTAATTAACAATGAAATTTAAATTTTGCTACAACGAGCACAACGTGTTATGTTATAAAACTTCCAGAGTTTGAGTCAAAATGACAAAATTTCTGTCACAGTTATAACAAGATTATAGAATTACCCAATGATGAAAATAATTTAATAGATAAATGACTTTATCATAATATTTAATCATAAAAGTATTTATAAAAATAAAAATAAGCAATAGAACAATGGAATTAAACAAACGGAAAATCCACTATAGTCTACACAATATTAATATTTCTATTTCAATTTAACGGAAAAATAATATAATACAATATTAATTGATAAAACCATTGAATAAATAAAGATAACAAAAGTGACTAGATAAAATAAGATTATATTACAGTGTGATCACGATTTAAGATATAAGATATACCTTAAATAATATGTCAGTGTGATCAATACATTTATGTTAAATATTTTTGATATATAGAGAAATATATTGTTATCAATTCATCATCACAACCATGACCAAGTAATATTATCAATAAATATTAAAAGGTTTATTTTGTCATGTATACAATAATATTTATTATTTTAATATAATTTAGGTATATGTGATCACAAATTCACAACTCACAAGATTGAATAAACTATCTATACTCTTAATTTAATTTAATTTGATTTAATTTATGTGCGATAAAAATTTTAAAACTCAAAACTCAATTATCATTCAACTAAATTAAATTAAACTTTTTCTAAAAATTATTGAATACAACTTATTTTTCTATCTATGCCTAATACATTTACTATTGTCTTATGAATTAAGATCTAAGACATTGTATAAAATAATTTATTTCTAGTATATTATGATTTAGTATCAAAATATAAATTCATCATATTATAGAAATGGATAATTCCAAAATGAAATACGAGGTAACTAGTATTATATTAAAATTCCTAGTAAACATTTCTAAAGAATCATTAACTTTATTCTTGTTGTTAAATTTTCAAATTTATATATTATGAATTCTATATAAATATATTTAATGTACATGTTTTTAATGTAATATTTATTCAATTTGTTTTAAATTTATTTATTAAAATACTTAAAACTTTGTTTTTGTTAAAATATTATAATTTTACAAAGGTACCTGGTGGAATAACCTCACTAATGCCAAACATTTCTGCTGACTTATTGAGTTATATAAATTGCATAGAAAGTTTGCCAATTTATAAAGGTGAAACAACCCTCCCACCTAGAGATATTAATTTGATGTCATTATACGCCGATAGTAATTTTAACTTCCTACCGACTTGTTTTGTTGTAAGTAATTTATTACTTATGATTTTTTCCAAAATATTTTTATTAAACAATGGTTTTATTATAGCCTGAAAGAGATCCTAAGACTGGTGAAATTATAAGTTATGAAGAAGTCATTAACAATCCAACTACACAAAATGATGATGATTTAATACCTTGTTTAAAACCAATAAACAATCAAAATATCAGCACCCAATTTGAAAATAATGCATCTCTCTTTGAATTTGATCCTAGTAATATAAATTTCAAAAAATTAAACATTTATTTAATTATTAATATATCTGTTATTGTTATTTTTTTAATTTAGATGATTTACCAATAGCCCCTGGAATGTCAAACAAGTTGAAAATAAACCAAAATGATCAAAACGTAACATTAAACATTAGCACACCTACAACAAAATTAGAAGATGAATGGGCTGAAGATGTGGGCGGATTTTGGGATGATGAAATACCAGAAATAGAAACCCTTCCAGATATTATACCAGAACCAATTTCTGTAGATGAAATTAAACATATTAAAGTAATTATTAGTTATTGATAAGTTTTACTTTTAACATAGGTAATATTTTATTTTATTTTTAACAGAAAGATGAAAACTTTGTATTGAAAATTTCTGGAAATTCAGAAAGAGCTCTTGTAAAATCTAAATGGGTTGAAGAATTAGATATTTCAAAACCAATACATAACTTTGATGAGTTATTACCTGATCCTGCATATAAATGGGAATTTGAATTGGATACATTTCAAAAACAAGTAAATACATTTTTAATCTTATTTTTCACATTTTTAATATTTTCTTTAAATATATACATGCATACCTATATATATAAACCTAAACAAATATTTGACTTTTAAAGGCAATTCTTAAATTGGAAGAAAAATCTAGTGTATTCGTAGCAGCTCACACTTCTGCAGGTAAAACTGTGATTGCAGAATACGCTATAGCACTAGCTAAAAAACATCAGTTGAGGTATTTCATTTTTAAATGATCCTTGTATTTTTTTTTGCATACTAGTAAATATTGAAGAAATTTAAAATTATATTTGTAACTATCACTGTATTTATTGTAAATAACTTTTATACCAATAATAATTAAATATTATATATTATAAATTTAGACGTTTTCTGCAGAGTGTAGAAGCACTATTAGATTTAAATGACATTTAATATCATAAACTGATTTCATTAAACAAATATTTTTTTTAGATAAGTTTTACATTTTAGTTTATTATATATTAATACAAAATAAAATATCGTACAATCATAATATATTTAAAACTATTTATTTAGGTGCATATACACATCTCCAATAAAAGCTTTATCCAATCAAAAATTTCGAGATTTTAAAAAGAAATTTGCAGATGTCGGTCTTATAACTGGAGATTTTCAAGTGAAACCAGAAGCACAGTGTCTAATTGTCACAACAGAAATATTATGTTCAATGCTATACAGTGATTCAGAAAAAATTAAAGAAACAGAATTTGTTATTCTTGATGAAGTTCATTATGTTAACGACAGAGATGTGAGTAAGCCAATAAAATGTATACATTTATATTTTTGTATTATACTCTTTCTTAGTACATATATTTATAAACAAATAACATAAAGCCATATTAGTCTTCTTCAAAAAATAAAATAAATACTAGTTTTAGGATTGATAATGAGACTGTTTATAAATATCCAACCTCAAACTTTTATTAAATTATTATATTATACTTTGGTACGTCCAATCTTGAAATATTTAACTGAGACCCACATATCTGAAGACTTCAATTTTTGTACAAATAATTATAACCTAAAATAAGGTCCTTCTTAGAAGAACACTTAGAAGGAGTCTAACATATATTTATTGAAATTTGTTAGGTTTTCTCTAAAAATAAACTCTTGTAAAACATGATTACATGCCTATCACATGCCAGCTTAATCTTTCTTCACTGGTAGACCATCAACTTTATGTGAACAAAAAATTTTAAAACATGTATAACCGAACTCTACTCAGAACCATTTTTCATTAGTAATTATTAATCGCTGTGTACACTAAATTTCTCTTTATTCTACCTTTCCAACTTCTCACTAACAGTGGCCCACCTATCGTGTGAAGTATGTCCATCTTTTTTTTATTTTGTTTTAATATTATTAATTAAAATATAATTTTCCTATGGATTAAGATAAAACAGATGATAATAATAATAATTGTATTGTTTGGATGCATATTTCATTATTTTTAATTATTAATAAAAGTCTTAATCCATAATTATAATATAAACTGTTTATTAAAATAATAATGAAATTATATTTTGTTAATAGAGAGGTCATATATGGGAACAAATTTTAATTATGCTTCCTAAACGTGTAAAATTAGTTATGCTGAGTGCTACTGTAACAAATGTCATTGAATTTGGTAACTGGATTGGACGTACTCGCAACTCTAAAATTTATGTTGTGTTTACTCTCTATCGACCAGTTCCTCTTGAACATTATCTTTATGTTGGCTCAAATACATCTTTGGAAATGAAAAACAACATGCATCTAATTCGAAAATCAGACAGTGGATTTCTTATGCAAGGGTGTGTATATTTTTGATAAATTTAAATTTAATTAAACAGACTTGCTAGTTTGCTACACAACCTGGAAAACCTAGAAATCAGAGAATTTTAAATTTGTTATGAAAATTTAATAAAATAAAAAAATATATTTAGAGTATCAAATCATTGTTGTAGATACATATAACTATGTATAGTGTTCTATCAAACTTTATTAATTGAAAAAAATTTGTCTTACCATATTAATAATAAACAAATTTGTGTATTAAAAGCTTTAATTTATTGTTTTACGCTACACAAATTCTGCACAATATAGAGTAGAGCTACAGTTGAGTAGTCAATATGTTCATGTTGGATAATAAATATTTTATTAGGTTCTCTAACTGTTAATTATTGTCAATCTACCGTGACTTATAATTTTTCTTCACCCAACTTCAACCCAACTATTTGGGGTCGACCACCCTTGTTTTAAACTTTTACTTGACCAGATATCCCATTTAGCATACACCAGCTATCCTTATATTATTCCTAATTACTAACCTAATCTATTTCCTCCTACGTTTATTTTTATTACAATGCCTAAGGCATCAAATTCTCTCTCCCCATGACATGCTCAAACAATCTCGTTAAAATACCTCTTATGCACTTATCCCCTTGTAATCTTCTCTTGGCGCTCCACTTGTCCACATAAGTATTTTTATTATTATTATATCATATTGTTTTCCTGATCTATACTCCAAAACATACAACATAGTCAATCTTACCACACGTCTTGTAAAACTTAACTTTTAAGTCTCATTGGAGTTCCATTGTCACATAAAACACTTGACATTTCTCTCCATTTTATCCAACTACACGTAATCCTATGTATCAGATGCTCATAAAATCCACTATTATTTTTACAAAAGATCCTAAGTATTTAAAATTCTCAACCACACCTATAACTGTTTATTTCCATTAGCTATTTTGACGTGTTCTTCCAAACTCATACTCTGTTTTACTTTTACTTATCCTTTATCTTTTTCCAGATTTTCTTTTATCAAAGCTATATCATCTGCAAAATATCATGTACTGTGTTACCTTCTCTCATCTATTGTCCCCATGCACATCTGAGATCGGAAAATCTACCAGTCCTATTTAGAATTCCTGTTTAACTACTGTTTAATAGAATTTAACATTGGCTGTCAAGTAGATGCAACCCCATTTGTGACCTCTTATAAGTTATAACAGGTAAAAGTACTGTGGAAATATTGATCCTCTCACACACGAGACTTTAACTAATAATTATTAAATATATTATTACTTTGGAAAATCAAGGAATTTTGAAATCTTACATTTGTAGCAACCCTGTTAAATAATCTAATGTTCATAATTAATTTTAAATATTAAATTTGGTTATTTAAATATATTTATAGGTATAAAAAAGCTTCAGACCAATTTAAAGCAAATCAAGATGGAAAAAAATATCAAAATATTAAAGACCAAAAACCAAAATGGATCAATTTTCTTAGATTTCTTGATAAGAATAGTTTATTTCCAGTAGTTGTTTTCATTTTATCCAGAAAAAAATGTGATATGATGGCAGAATCTTTAAAGAATTCTGTCAATTTTTTATTAAATAACAAAGAATCGCAAGCAAATGAATACTTTTTCAATGACGCTATAAAAAAATTAAAACCTGAAGATAGGGCATTGCCTCAAGTAAATATCCTTGTGTTTAGTTATTATTCTAATTAATATGACATTAATATTTAGGTAGTTTTGATGAAAGAATTACTATGTCAAGGTATCGCAGTTCACCATAGTGGCATTTTACCGATATTAAAAGAGATTGTTGAAATGCAATTTCAAAAAAGTTTGGTTAAGGTAATTCAAATTTAAAAAATAATTAATCAGTTTTGTATTAATCACACTCTAAATTATTTTACAGTGTCTTTTTGCAACAGAAACATTTGCAATAGGTATTAATATGCCAGCAAGAACAGTGGTATTTGATGCTATTAGCAAATTTGATGGCATAGAAAAACGAAATTTGGCACCAGCAGAGTATACTCAAATGGCAGGACGTGCGGGTCGTCGAGGCCACGATCCTAGTGGTACAGTGATAATTATGGCAACTGAACAACTACCTCACGACAGAGAATTAACAAATATGATGCTAGGTTGATAATACTACACATTCTTATTAATATTATACACATTTTAGACCCCTTTTTTTTGTTTTAGGTAAATCCGCAAAATTAGAATCTCAATTCAAAGTCAGTTATTCCATTATATTAAACATGTTTAAAAAAAAAAACTCTGATACTCTGGAAGACATTTTGAGTAATAGCTTTATTGAAGCTGATAGAGCTAAGAAAAAAGATGAATATATTGAAGAATTGAATTCTTTAAAAGAAGTAGATGCAAATGATTATTGGCAACCAACTAGCCAGCAAGAACTTATTGTAAAAGAATTCTATATGGCTGCTAAAGAGTATTTAGACTGCAGAAATGAAGACTGGGTAATTAAATTATAAAAAAAATACTTATTAGTATCAAAAGTTGTTTTTACTTTTAAATAAATCAAAAATATACCTTAACCTAAATTGTATATTTAATTAGTTTAGTTTAATATTAATTATACAATTTATAATTGAGTTAAATAATTTATATTAATATTATAAATTAATGGCATATTTTTCGATTTTCAAAATACAAAACTCTTTTAGCTCGTTTAGCTCTAAGGGATCTAGTACCTCCACCCTCTGTAAATAAACCACTAGTACACATTTATTAAAAACTACTATTTTTTTACTTTTTAATTATATATTTCCTATGTAATAAATGTATAAGTTATGCATATATTATAACAAATTCTATAGTATCAATTGTATAATTAATAGATATTTTTTAATAATTTATAACTACCTGCATTGTTAACTGGTTTACCGGTTGCACTATTCTTTTTTGTGATAAGTTTATAAATTAGTAAACAAAGGTAATAAGTAGTATTTTAAATTGTAAGTATTAGTTAACCATTTTAGTGTACAATAAAACATTTTAACACTACATATTTCTTAAGTATTCAAATATTAAATTTAGGATAAAATGTTAGCAGCAAGTGATAAAAGTTTTAGTGAAAATGGCAGATTTGTTATTATTGCACACCAACAGTATATTGGTAATTTAGCTATTATATTATCAAGCAATGCAAAAAAAATTCCAAAGGAATTTCGGTAAAATTAATTATTTATTATATTATAGCCTATGAATATGTTGTCCTTTATAATTTGTTTTCTATATTTCAGTGTATTATTATTAGACAATGATAACATGAAAAATGAATTATCTGGTAAGAAAATGGATTCTTGGTCTAAATGTATCTATTTATCTCAAAAAAGAAGAGAAATAAATAAATCATTAGATGTTATCTCGAATAATGCGCATACAATTTTAACTATACCTTCAAACTCAATTATGGCGATTACAAAATTTTCTGGAAATTTTGATAGTGATTCTATTATCAAAAATTGGGAAATGCGACAAAATGAGCGTTTTAAGTAAGTTAAACATAATCATATATACCTAAGTATTTTTACTCGTATATAATACTTTATATTATAAATAGAGTTATTATACGTGTTGGCAAGGTCTAAGAATTTAATTTCTATTTACAACAATCTGTTGACATGCAAAAAATGTAAAATATTTTAAATTTTAACAACTATTTAGACATGCCGCTATTTCAAGCCACTGTCAGCGAGCTATTACAATGCTATCAGAAAAAACATTATTATTAAATCGATCAGAAGTAGCTGATTCAATAATAAGTTTGTTTGATCTTCAGATCAATCATTTTGAATTACACAGAAATATGTTGCATTTGCATGCATTAGAAAATCAACTGTACAATATAGATTTGTCAGATGTTATTGCTTTTGAAGAAGTGGTAAGTATGTGTTTTATAGCAAATGCATTATTGTTCTAAACAGAAAAATATATTTTTATAATTATTTTTCTTCAGTGTTATTAAAACGAAATAAATATTAAATATTTTTATAAAAAGTTTTACCTAAGGAATTAAATAATTTACTTTATATCATGTGTGTATGAAATATGTTAATATTTAATGAAAATTGATTTCATTTAAATTATTTGAATAATTATTCTTGCCTGCAATTTATTAGATCACAAAACCAAAATTAGTTTAAAAATTAAATATATTGAAACTACACTTCATAACTTTAAACATTCTGTCATTATTGAATGATTTTAGTTCTTGAAATTTTATGAATATCAAACAAGAAAAGAAAGAATAGCAGAATTAGAACACCAAATATCAAATAAAGCATTGCAATTATACAATGAATACATAACCAAAGTAGGAGTTCTTAAAGAACTAAAATATATAAATCCAAGAAATGAAATAAGTAAATAATCATTATTACTTAGTATATAAATGTATAATATATGATATTTGTTTAATTTTAGCAACCCAAAAGGGAAATGTTGCTGCAACTATGGGGTCACATGAACTTTTAATCACGGAATTACTTCTATGTAATATGTTTGAAGAAATGAAACCAGAAGAAATTGCTGCGGTTCTATCATGTTTAGTTTGTGAGTCAAAATCTGACTTTGATTTGGAATCCATTAAAGATAAGAATTTAGTAAAGGTATGATTGAAATAAATTTGTTTACTTATGTTAAAACGTAGTTAAAAAACACAAATCTATAACTAAAATTAATGTAATCTTAGGGAATGAATTTAATTAAACAAAAACATAATTACATTCAGTCAGTTGAATCCTGCTATTTGAGCAACTATGAACGTGTTGATCTTAACTTTAATCTAGTTAAAGTTCTACATTTATGGGCTCAAGAAAAGGTAACATACTAAATGAATATAAACCTAATATTGAAACTGTACCCATCTGTATCACATTTTTTTACCATTATTAATTAATGAAATAATCATACACATTTTTTTTAGCCTTTTTCTGAAATAATGGAAATAACAGACATTCAAGAAGGAATTATAGTACGATGTATAGTTCAATTGAATGAAATTTTAACAGTAATTAAAAATGCGGCAAAAACAATTGGTACTAATAAAATCAGTGAAAAAATGCAAGAAGTTCTTGAAAAAATTAAAAGAGATATTGTATTTACTCCTTCTTTATATATGGAATAATTTTTAGTTGGAAAAAAATATGAATAAAATATATTACCTATAATAATTAACAAAATATGAAGTGTTCATTATTATTATTATTAATATTATAAAAGTGTTTAGTTTGTACAAAATCTAAACAATAATAGGTATAAACCCATCAACTCAACTTTACTATTTGTATCTACCCGAATGTCCTAAATCAATGCTTTCCAAGCACAAAATTTGTTTCATACATTAAAATATGAAACTTTTATTTTGCAGTTTTAGAATTGTTTTTAATTTTTAGAGTATTTTTCTACTTTTTAGGTGAATTTTTTATAAATTTTTTTCTACTAACTTCATAATATTATCAAAAAATTTCATAAAATTTGTTTTGATTTCCAACTAAAAGAAAAAAAACTCATATTTCTATTTTCAAAATGTATTAGGTATAGATTTACCGATTGCACCAGATAAATACAATGCTAGCTGAATAAAGAAAACGATAACCTATTTATCGAGTTGTAATGTAGTCATAATACATAATTTTCACTGTTGTGTTTAATAAATTTTATAGGTACCTAATATAAAAAGTTTTTTTCAATGTGTAAATAAATGTTTAAGGCATTTTTTATATAAGCCCATTAAATTGTATTTTTTCAGGACATTTTTCTTGATATATAATTAATAAAATAAATGCTTTAAAATAACAAAAATAAATAAATAATAATTATTAATAATGTTCATGTAATAGGTAATAAATATCAACAAAAAATTATCATAAATATGAGTAGGTATAGTCTGACAATGGCACAGGCGTGTACTATAATCTAGGTATTTTTTTTTTTTCTGATATGTACTTTTTCAGATTAAAGATGACGTATAATAATTTGAGAATCCGATAACATAAAAACTATTGATTTTTTTTTTTATTCGTGTTTACATGTTTTATTGCGAACGAATAGCCGCATGACGAACAACCATCAAACAATCATTCTTTGTTATACGAACACGTGATACCATGATCAAAAAACATTAAGTAGGTTATGTCAGACCGGTAAAGGGCATTGTTCAACTCTATCGTAAATGCAATAATAATATTATTAAAATATTATCAATATCGATTAATCAGAGTGAGCAGAGTCCTTACAATATCGTGTTTATGTATAAGTGCACGGACACGCCGCACCACGTGTTTATTGTTTTTATATGGAAACGGTGTTATAAAGTACGAATAATGATGAAAATAACGGACGACGACTAGACGACTATCTGAGTATTAAAGTCCGTGCACGTGTAGTCGCCCGTCGACATCATTGAGCATAAGCACCCGTCGACCTGCACTATCGTCCACGGGTACCTACCCCTTGCAAATTGCAGTATTTTAGTTCGACGAATTTGTTCACTTTCGAAAGCGAATTTGTTATAGATAATTTTCGTCGCTACTTACCCACCCCAAAAATGTTTACATATCTACTCTACAGTGGCGCCCGCGTACCTTCTCTTTTTTTTTTTTCCGTTTACAGTGAAAGCTCCATTTTCATACTTCCCCACTGCTGCCATCGTTCATTAAAAGAAATACAATTAGTGGTATGAAATTCCTATCTCCCCCTTCACCACGGAACAGGCTCACAATGACTTAGGATACTTTTAATCTAAGGAGTAGGATGGACGAAGCGACTCGCGTCATCCCGTACAATGATAACGTAACCTGGCCTACACACGAGACGGCGCCGGCGGCGAGGTCCTCGAGGAATTTGATGGAGGACGTCGGACTGTCTGGGCCGTTAAGGGTGCCGATCGCCGGGAGCGCGTAAAACCCTGGAATGTAAAAACTTTGACGGTACAAATCCTGAGTATACAATTTTAAAATCCGTACAAATCTGGAGTATTAAAATGTTGAAATCCATACAAATCTTGACGGTGCATATCTGAACGGTATAAATTTGGAATTTAATATTTAAAAAAAATAGCTGATACTGGGAACTGGTGCAGCCACTGTTATAGTTAAGAAGGTAGGTAACATAAAGTTATTTAATTTATATCTACGAAACAATATTCCAGATTTATACCGCCCAGATTTTTACGGTCCAGTTTTGTCGAAAACCAACAACTTCAACACCACAATGTATTCAAACTAATATTCTGTATATTTATGGAATTTTTAACATAGGTTGGCATTTTAAAATCCTAAGTACAGTTTGCCCCCTGAAAATAACATTTTAGAGATACATATTTGTTTCTTGAATTATCAGAAAAAAAAACAAAAACAATAATTCCGAAATAAGTTAATATTTTCCAATGTGTCGCAACGTTTATAATAATTTTATCTACGTGGGACAATCTGTGTGGTATATTAATATGTGGTTTCTGACGTAATAGCGGTCCTTGATCTTACTGTCCAATTGGCCGATGTAAACATTGAACATTTTGATAAAAATACCCGCATACAATATCAGTATAATAATAGGTAGGTATATAATGAATATTATTATATTATGTTTAAAATTTGGTTTTTATATTTTGAACGGTTTATAAACCTCAAACCCGTCGTATTGCCAAAAAAATGTTTAGGTTACTATATTTAACCACCTACCTACTGTTGTAATTATAAAACACTATTTTCATACGTAGGTATAGTATCTACGGTGGAACTGCAGTAGGTACATAATAATGTGTAGGTACCCACACTAATCAAAAATATAGGTTACCATTTGTAATGTGCCTTATTAAGGTACCGAGGTATTATAACAGTGTTGACAATGTGTTCAAATCATTTTGTTTTAAACTAATGATGAAAACAATGTTTTCAATCGACTAATCTAATTAATTAAACCGCGTTTTAAAACAGCATAAAAATCAAAACAGTCATTTTAAACAAAAACAAATTCCACAGTAGTTAAATGCCATGTATAAAAATACCTATTATAGAATTTATAAACAATATAAAGTACCTACTACTTTAAAAAATGTCTTTTTTTATTAAGTAAGTTAGGTATGTAATTCAATATTTATTATTTTGTAATAAGAAATGAAAATTATTATTTCTAATCAAAATGAATGCCTACGATAAAAACAATATTTTACTAAATTATTTGTATGTGTAAAAAAAGAAATGTACATGGGTAGCTACTTACAATTTTAAAAATAATGGATGTGTCACTATTGTAGATTATGGGAAGTCGGTAAGGCATAACAATAATACATACAGTTATTTAATTTATATTTGTACAAAACAGCAAATCATTTCTGTTAAAATACGATTCTGAACGAAGTTCGGTAAAATGTATTTTGGAATAACATGGTTGGTACAAATTTTATCAAAGTTGAACTTAAAATGATTATAAAAAAATATCATTTCTACTTAATGCACAAAAACATGTACAATTTGTAATCATGTCTAATCAACCAAAACACAATTTAATAATCCACATAAAACCAAATAAAAAATTTTAAAAACTCAAAAAATGACAAATGTCTATAAATAGTTCAAAAATGTCCATACTAGGTATTGAACATTTTACCCCGTCTAGAAATAGTTGGTGGGAGAATTTTGGCCCAGGCGGAGAAGGATATGAGGCGTCTAAAATATTTTTAAACAGTGAAAATCTAAGAGGTAAGTCCTAACTTATAAGACACCTATAATATTAATGTAAATTATCCTAGATTTAGGTAAATAGGAGGTTAATAAAATATACATCTGTAATAAAAAAAAAAAAAAAATAGATAATTACTCGAACCAGCATTTAATACTCTATAAAAACATCTAACGTCTTACCTTAACTTTAAAAAAAGTTAGGCTTTCTTTGATTCTCATCACTTCCGGCAATAAGTAACTCTGCGTGGCTCGTCTATAATGCAGCACATTTTATCTTCGCCTATAACGGGGTTCTTAACCCTCGAATTATTCATTTTACAATTCGAACGGTGCATTAATTATTTTTGAAAATTTATTATGTTACTCAATAGACAAAATAAATACAAATTGCCAAGTGCTATTAACCACTTATTGTGAATTACTTATATTAATATTCAATAGTGAGTATTATTATTATTATTATTATTATTATTATTAGTGTACGGCCGTCAGCCGCTGCTCGTTGATAACGTGTTATCGTTAGGTTTAGGCAAGGTGTATTGGTCTATATTATGCAAATAATATAGATGTCTGTGGTTTAGGTAAGGCCATATAGTGTGTGTATAGTCGCGGAAAATATGAAATGTATTGAACCACTAAACTCGATAAACGCGCTATGACATGTGACATGAATTAGATAGGTTTAGGATATGGTTTCTGTTTTGATACCAAATTACCAAATATTATTTTATCTAAATTTGAAATACGTTTTATTCATAACAATAAATTTGAAAAAAAAAATCGCACAGGTTGTGCCTACGAAGCCGCCCAAATTATTAATAATCCTACCGACTTTGGCGGACTTCTCCGCCTCTCCACTAGGCCCAGTCATCCCCTATGTGCATATATTTTATTATTTTTATTGAAAAAGTCTACTCGTGGAAAATAAATTTATAGGCACATAGAAAACATAATATAAAATTGTAGGTATGCCCGTGATTAAATAAATCATGGGTATACCGTGTACCTACCTATATTATAAGCACAGGACATTCAGCACGAAAACGCATTCCGGTGAGTGGAGTTTCATTTCGAGGACAGAAACACGTGAGATATTAAACGGAGTATCTTAATTGGCTGTCCTCGGAGTACAAATTTACTCTCTCTCACACTAATGATATCAGCCTATCTCTCTTGATCCGTTCGGACCTACCCACGGACTAAAATATATTATGGACCGACCACACCACCCAGTCCTCGGGGTAAATCGGTGAATGTTCCATCTAGATGTATAAATCTATGATTATAAGTTACAACCATAGACCTTATAATATATATATTCTTAGTATAAACCTTGTAGAACAAGGTCTTTGGTTACAACTTATAACCAATTATACGAAGAGGGGGGAAGGACGAAATGAAAAAAGAGCTGATACTAGGGACGCGTGCAGCCACTGTTGTAGGGGGGTAGTTTGAAAAATGGAATACATAAAGTTAAGTAGGTAGGTACCTTCTTATTTAATTTAAACCCGTAACTAACGATAAACCATTGCTAACGATTGAGAGTGAAGTACAGTCTTGAAAGGTCGTAATATTTACGATTTTCGTCAAAATTTGATTTTAAAACTCTTACAGAAAATAAAACTGCCTCTCCTCCCTCGTGGGCGTCCTTGGACAATAGTATATCCACTATAAAAAGCTCAAATATACACGTAGGTGAGTTACGATCAAAACCGTGCCTGTGGGGATACGAGAGGTGCCCCAGAGCCCACGCACCGAGCTCTATAACTACAGGACGACAGTGAAAATGTTTAAAGTTCTGTAATTGAATATTTTTACAATAAACGTAACAGTAGGAGCGTAGGACTAGAGCAATAACAGAACAGAGTGTAAATAATATAGTTGTGATCATATTATTATTATAATTATGGGTAGATAATATTATTCTGTATAGAGTTTTAGATAGCTAAGTAAGTACGTATATCTAATGCCGTATACCATCGAGTATCTTTATAGTGTGTAATACACTAATGCAGTAGTTAATGTTCCCATAGGATGTACTGCATTTACTCCATATAGGTATCAACTCTCAACATTTTATTGAAAAATTATGTGTATACCAACGTATACTGTCAAAAGTCTAATATTCGGTTTTTCAAAGAAAAAAAAAAAAATCATCAACATTTTATATTGTTACCATTGCCTTTCCATATACCACGTGTGTCATTAAAACCGTAGGTAATTGTAATAAAAATCGTACTCATTTATTTCAATAAGGTAGATAATTTTAACTAAAAAATTCACAATTTTCTCGCGGTTTATGATACGTTTTAATTCTGAGTGTTTTAATGCGGTTATTTTAATTTAACATTTGTAAAATCGATACCGATTTCCGCGTGAACAGTATAAACCGTAGTAAAAAAAAATAGCCCATATAAATACAAACTATAATAAGTCACCGGGATAATGTTGGTGGTATTAAATTAATGGGAACACCACCACTGGCAATATATATATATATATATACACACCTATACTGTAAATTTAGTATTTACCTATTATATTTAGCATGACTGCGAGAGCACTAAAATGTATTTTTTTTCTCAAGTGAAAATTCACTTTCAGGTCAGTGAAAGTATGTTGGGTTATTATTTTCATAGTGTTACGTATTTGCGATTTATATAGGTATACTATAAATAAATTTACAGTTATATATATATATAATACCTAGCTATAGCATGGGTACCATGCGTATCAAATATTTTACTTTTAATATTCAAATTTTTGTATACCTACCACGAATAAAGATACCTATGATGTATTTAAATTCGTGCAGATACCTACCTACCCAAAGATTAGAGTAGTTATTATAAACTTATACTTTTGTACAAGAAAATGATTAGTCATTTTTTCATCCATTCAGACCTTTTGATGGTATTAATATACATAGTAGGTATTAACAATGAACAATAATTAAAATCTAGATTTTTTTAGTAGGTATAGTAGACTATATTAATCAAACATTAAAACGATCACAAAAATGAATAATCATTGGTGATTATTCGGATTTGAAAAAAAAAAAAAAGGGGCACTATTTTATTTGAGTTGGTATTGCGATTGAGACCACTGTTCAAAGCGACCTAACGACCTTAGATAAAATAGATAACACAAACAGCCTTTTAAGCAAGTAACTATCCACGATAAACCACAAACAAAACCATTCCCATTGTTGTCCACGTTTTAGACGGACGTTCCTTACAGTGTTCTCCGTTTTTCTTGTGTTTAGGATAGCAAGCGTTATTTTCCGATTTTCGCGAACAGGACGTGTTAAAAAATTAACTAGAGTTATGAAAATAATGAAATACCATCTTTTAACAGTCTCCACGCATGGTAACAACTTAAAGGTGAGCTTGTTTAATTGAATTCATTAGTTATCCGTATTGGCCTTATTCCATTAAATCAAGGCCAAGAATTAAATATTGTGTCGCATCCAAATCCGCATATTGTTTTGAATTGGCTATACGCAATGTTTCTAATCTTTTTTTGTATCTTTATTTTATTTGTGTATTTATTAATATTGCATATATGGTGCTTTCGATTTTATTTATTTTTAAATTTTTTTAAATTTTGTCATTTAGTCGAACTGTGTTATAGCCAAAGCTTATTCTTAACCAGAATAGTTGGTTCTCCAGGAACGACGTTCAATAATCAATACCCACGTCTAGTCAGTCAATTCCTATAATCAACATGAGTTCAACGGATCGTTCAATATCATCTGGGTTCCCAATACCCCAATGGATGAAATCTAAAATTAATGATCGGTTAGTTTGTATTTTAATACCAATAATTCTTGATGTTAGGATAATAGACGTTTTATTTTTTATTGTTTGTTTAAATATATTTTTCATATAAAAATAAACTAATAATTTAGTTAACCTAACTTAATTAAAAATAACCTATTCAAATTAATTAATTTTACCTATACCAGTTAATAAATTCAATTAAAAATGTCATTAAAGGTAGGTAATACTGAAACAATAATAATAATTTCAAGTTTTCGTTTTAATTTTAAACCTAAAAGATTATTGAATTAGATTGTGCAATAAATCAATTTTTCATTCACAGATAACATTATATCAAAACATTAGGTAGACTGTCCAACAGTGCAACAATAATATGTCCACTACCTATGTATTAACAAACCTGTATTACATATGTTTTTAATTTTAATTATCGTATTTAAATTGAATAGATTATTATTTGTTATCTAACTTTTTGGTTACACTCCAATAATGACATGTTTCAAGTTAATACCTATTAAGATACCCATAGGTATATATTACTTGATTGTAATTTTTAAACAATTAGATGGCATTAAAAAAAAAATGACATTTCTTAATATTATTCTTATAATACTTTATTTATTTGATGTATGACATGAAGAGTAACACATAAATACATTTTCTAAAATAAATAAATTGATGATAAAACATAAAACATAAAATATTTAACATATTCATAGATAGGTATCTATACTTATCTAAAGGCTACAGATAATACTAAAGAGTATAGTAATACTAATTACTAATCAAAAATAACTATATACCTATACAATTATTTTTATAAATTAACCAATAATACCTATGTAAACCTAATCTAAGTAGGTACTAAGTTTAGTATTAGTTGACTTGTGGACTGTTGTGATTGAAATAGATACTTGAATACCTAACCAATAAAATTGTACAATTTCAACTTTAAAAAAATATTACTGATGTTTATGTCACTGTTGTAATTAAGAATCTAAGATACATAAAGTTATTTAATTTATATCTAAATTCAGAGATAATCCAATGCTAATAAAAAATAATTCTTAGTGCACATTTTGTTATTTTTTACTATAAAATACAACTTTTAATTAATCTCGTTTTAAAATATCCAGCATTTTTGTTCGATCAAACAATTGCATCAACATAAAACAAAATAAAAACTAAAAAATTGACAATGTCAAATGCATATAAATACCTCAAAAATCTACAGAATATGTTGAAAATATCATCATTTCTAGAAAAGTAATATAACTTTCTTTAAAAACTTCAGCCCTATGATTATTTTTAACCAAATTATAGCAAACAAGATTAAAAATAATGAAACCGGTAATACAGTAAACTTTTCTATTTTCCTACCCTTTTTTCCAATTATTAAAAAATCTAACTAGATTAACTTAGCACCAACTAGATAAATATTTAGAAAATATATATTTTTAATTTTTTGATTGGAACAAAATTTTTGGTAGAGAAATTGTTAACAGAAAGAAAATTAAATTACAAATAAAAAAATAAGTACACATCTTATTAAAACCTTACTCTGCTCATAATCTAAAAAAAGTTTTAAGCATTAGAAATAAAGAACACAAAGAAACACAATTTTGTTTTATTACACTTTGTCCACAACAATAATATCTGCTTGGCTTTTAAATTATTTTATTGTATAAAAATTAATTTCAATAATGAAGCATTAGGAAGTTTGTTTAATTTATTTTTTAATAATACGCGAGCAAGAGTCATATATACATAGAGTAACAGTGGTGAGAATATTCAGTTTATAAAAAAGATAAAGAGTGAGAATGGTATAGTAGTTCAAGTTGAGCCTATTTGATATTTTAAAGTAATAGTTTACTACAAAACATAAGAAATATGGTTAGTCTGCCTAAATAAGAGAATCCAAAACCTAGATGTAGCTTAAGGTGTAAACTGAAAAGTTTAATTATTATGTAACAAGTAAATATCAATTCAAAACCAAGGTAGAAAGTAAAAAGATCTCGAAAAAAAGTAAGCTTGATAAGACACATTAGACATATTATCATTAATGGAATGAATAAAGTTTTAAAAGTACATACAAAGCATATTATTTATTTAAGTTTTAACTGAACAATCATTGAATTAAATTGTCAAAATCAACTACCTACCTAGCAGTATTTTACGATTTTCTTTTAAGTAGATGTGCATGTGTTTAGGTTGTTAGTAGACTTAGCATGTCAGTAGATGTACAAAATACTAGTGTGGAAAAGTTGAGAGAATGATCAATGCGTGACTTGATATTATTTATATATTTATTACTTAAATAATTCATTATTGTAAATATAAAAGTCTAGGTAAAATTCTATGTTGTAAAAAGCGATTTTCAAGTACGTAGTTATCCGTGACTGATTATAAAAATAGGTTTTATTTATTATCACTTCAAATTCTATACTATTTATTAGCTTTGAAGTGTGTTTTAAGTATATGTATATTAAGTAGACTACTTGAATTTATTTAACCTGAATGATAATTTGTTTTGTTAAATATACCTAATTAAATTCATATTTCTTTTAGATTTGACCTGGACCAACAATCATTTCCTTTACCAGCAACAGATGACAGTTTCTTTTTAGTTCGTTATTTGAAACAAGATACAGCTAATGATAAACAAATTGAGAGTTTATTGACCAAAACAAAATCATTAGACGATAATATACCGCAGAAAACTATTCAGAATTTAAATAAAATGCCTCCAGCGTTGATCGTTACAGAAACACCAGAATTTAAAGGTCATACACTTGCTTGCCAACGCTTTATTACAAATACTTGTGCTGGTAAGTAATTATTTTGATTCCATAAGGTAAAATTATAAATATATTTATAATGTTGATTACAACAATTAAATTCAGTCTATTACAATAAAAAAATGAAATGTTAAATTTAAAGAAAATTTAGAATCACAGTGTTATAAACAATTTCCTACATCATCAAAATCTAGTGAATTTAACGAATTTTCATTTTACAAACATGGTTTGTCTTTTATTATTCAGTGTAAAAATTAATCTTATTAGAATATTAAATGATAAACTATTTTTGTATTACTCATCATTATGTATTAGTCATACCATTGTCAAGGTCAATTTTGATCTTATAAATTGTTCCTTCAATCACTAATCATTGATGGAATGATGTAATTTAATCACCTAGGTATATGTTAATAATGATATACATATAATATTATAAATACGTTTTTAGTATTACCTAATAATAGGATAGATAATTACTATCATATCAATAGCAATTTGTTTATGATACCTGTTGATAATATAAAAAACGTATGTACACATTCAATTTTGCTGGGGTATTATTATTTGTTAGGCATGAAATATTTGAGTATAAATATAATATATAGTTTAATACAACCACTGTTGATGTCTTGACTTGATAATTGTTAGATATATATAGTTTAGAAATTTGTTTTATATTTTAATACAATTAACATACTAGTACTTGTATATTATCTGGAACTCTTAGTTCCTTAAAAAAACTAACCAAATTACGGGGTTATTCTACTTAGATATTATCTAAATCAAAGAAAAACCAAAGTTGATTTCACCATAGGATACTCCTTAAACGTTATTAAAAATCTAAGTATTCAAAAATATCAGTTTTAACAACGCTTAAAAATTCCCAAAATCAGAATATACACAAAATTTTACCAAAACAAAATAAGGTGAGCACGCTTAGTTTTTATACTAATCAAAGATACATGGAATAAAAAATAAAACAGAATTTGATTATCTTTATTATCTCCAGATATATTACAATTGGATGGGTATATCTCCGTGGGATACCCCATGGTATGTGTGTTAGTGTGTATATGCAATTTATATTATCAGTTTCCAATTTAAAATTAAGTCTAAAATATTTATTATATTTGATGTGATATTTATCCCATTAGTTGGGTAATTTTCATACAGAGTGGATAGTCCTAGATAAAACTTATGTATCTACTACAATATATCGGTTTATATTGATATAATAATACAAGTTTTAGCTGTAAATACAACTTGTATATAAGGGGGGAGAAAATAATAATTATGTATAACATATTTCATTGCTAATGAAGGTCATTTTATGGTAGTAATTTAACACTATTACTCAAGTTTGCCTACATCATCTAAAATATTTACTATTTTACTACCTATACAGTTTAAAATTCGAATGAGTTTATATTATTATTTGTATGGAACATTGTATGTATTTGGGATGAAAACAACAGACAATTGCTTACATATAATATATTTTTTTTATAATAATGTATAAATTTATTACTTATCATATAAATAATTTGTTACTATTATAAGTTAAACAAATAAAATATTATACGTAGAATTATTTATATCATAAATCTAAATTTAATAATATTGTCATATTAGATACATGATTTAATTTAAAAAATTAAATAATTGGTTTTCTTATTTTTATGATTAACAGATAACTGTTTAATTTTTTTGAAAAAGTGACTTTTTCGTGTACAATTATTTATGTTTCTAACAATCTAATTACACAATTTGTTGAGAATTTGCGTGTCCAATGAGGATTTTGTAAGAAACAAAAATTAATAATTTTTTTGGTCTGTTTATAAAAAAAAATGTTCAATATTTCATAGTACTACAAATAATACATTTTTTTTTTTTTTTTTTCAAAATATAAATTTAATATGATACTTGAAAACAGTATATTAATGAAACTGCTATTATAATTTTGGTATTAAATAATACTAATATGGAAAAACCTTAACAACTCAACATACGATTAATTCCTATCAATATACCTTTCTATATAGCCCCAAGGTTTAACATGAACACGCCCTTTCATATAAAATTTTGCGCTGTAAAATACTCCATCCTCTATTCCGTGTGTCCTCAAACACAATCTCTCCTATCTAATTTTAAAGACTAGAAAAATCTTAATGTATAAAATTGCAATACTTAAGATTATATTGTTTTAATGGTTTCCTCAATTAAGTTTATACATATTTTTATAATCACCAATTACCTTTAATTTGACTTAATTTAACTTTAGTAATAATTTTACAAGTTCTTTGTTTATATTCAAAATTGATTTATTAATTTGTATGTTGTATTGTAATAGCTTAAGTGATTAGTATTATCAGACAATGACCACTTGACATAAAGTATGCAACTGTTCAGAAAATCTCAAAATTATAATAGGAGATATTCATCCTTTTCTATTATATATAAGGATATCTAATTTATACCATGTGTGTTTACATTTTTAAATTTATTTTAATTGTTTTTTTCTTCATTGGGTGTTGTAGTATTTTATTTACCCAATAACGTTTTACACATGTACACTGTACATACGCCACACATTGTAAAGCCTTCATAGCTGCATCATATTCTCGAATAATTTATCTAAGTAATATCTATATAAATTATAAATATACAAATATATTTATAATACATAGATAACAAATATCTAATAGTTATAGTATTTAACACTTGTTTTTTTACTAGACATGAATCTTTGTAATAATAGAAAGTAATTTAATACTTCAATACTATTACTTATATTTTCTTATTTGAAAATATTACAAGAGTATGATAAACAAAAATAAGATTAGTTAATCTTTTTTTCAAAAATGAATCCTATTAAATATTTATATATATATATAATAATAATAGGTTTCCATCATGGTTTATATTGAATATAAAAACATTAATGTTACATTGCCATTATTTTTTATCACCCTATAAACTATTACCGACTATTATTATCTTCAAATAATAACCTATATTAAAAATGTCATTAATATATGGAATATTAAGGGTGAAAAAAATGTAACATTTTTGTTACTGCTGCTTGTTTCTTAAAATCTCAAAAAAAAGTTTTTTGATAAATTCACACTTTTTGAAATAATGAATGTTTTATGTTAAATAAATTACCTTTTAGAGTATCTAGGTACTTTTTTACATTATTTCCTAATTCAATTTTATTTCTAAGGACTCCAAGGTCTAATTATATTATACTTTTTAATAAATAAATAAAAAAAATGGAAAATTAATTATGTAAGTACTGGTAATTTGTATGATCAATTTTAATTTTAATTTCATCATATTTGATATGTATCTTGAATGTCTATTTTTTTCGTAATCAAATATATTTTTTTTTATAGTCATTCAATTGTTTTCTTCAAGTATAAATTTATTGAAAAATGTAAATATCTATTATCACTGTAATACACTGCATTTATTAATTAAAGATTTAAGTTGTTAATGTTTCATGCAAACTGTAGCAATAATATTTATATTGCTACTATATTATTACTAGCATCATTGAAATTAATTAAAAATAATTAATATTCTTATTACTTTATTATTCCCTGTTTTTATTTAAATACATACAATTTTATTCAAACAAAATAATTTTTTGTTATAAAAATTAATACAATATTCATAAATTATGATAATACTATAATAAGACAATATTGTATTACAGTTACAGGCTATAACATAAAAACTTTTATTTTGCATAATATATTTATTTAAAGAAAATTTAACTTTTGATTTTTAAAATCTATTTAGATAATACCATAAAAAAAACTTTAATAACCCGGTATTTTATATTTTTTTACAGATGTAGTAGCAGCAACAAGTTTAGGTGAAAATGTAATTGACCCTCCAAAATCATTAGGGGTTGATGATGGTTTTAAAAGTGGTGCCTCCGAATGTGGTAAATCTATTGTAGCAATGGCACACCAAATGGTTTCGGGACGTAGGATGTATAAAGGACGTGCTTCAGGTCCCCAAGACTTAATTATTGCAGAACCTTCCACATCTGTATTATCGAAACGACGGAATAGCAAATCGCTTCCTGCCAGTCCATTGAGTTCGCCACCTGGATCACCACGATCTATCCGCAAAAACCCCTATTTTACAGCACCATTTCAAGAAGAATCTGGAGATAAACAAGGTTCATCATGGATATTATCTAACCTTTTTTCAAAAAGAGCTAATTCACAAGAAGAATTATCTGATAAAGAACAAAAACGTCTCCCAAAACCTTCATCTTCCAGCAATCTATATATAAAACCTAAACCTACAGAATTAAGAGAGATGAACTTTTGGTCACCAACATCAATGTAAACATTCAGGCTCAACATGCAATTTATTCATTGCAAAACAATTCTCTTTTTTTGATTTTATCATAAATTTGTATCTTTGGTATGATTTTAAATATATCCTTATTTTCTTTATAATCTCCTCAACTTTGTACCTATATAAATAATTTTTATTCATAACTTTAAGTATTGTTATTTTTTATTTTATTATGTTAAGTCCAAAAATCATTGAATTATGAAGACAACACATTATTTAGTGTGGATCATATTATAATGTATGCATATAATATATATATTATTTTTATATCACCCAACTATGGAAGGTTATTTTATAGTAATATTAGTACATTAATTAATATCATTATTTACTATTTTGAATATTCTGACTAATTATTTTTCAAAAATTCTTCATATTTATATTATTTTTATTGTAATCACATAAGTATTATAAATTATGATCAACTTACATAGAATTTAAAATTGAATGTTTGTAATGTATATGATTAAAGTTTCTTATTTACTATTTGCATTATCAACATGAAATATAAAGGCCATCAAATACTGATTTATCGTGATAAAATTTGTTATGAGTAGATCATGATACAAATTACAATAATAATACAAGTAAATCATCAGTAATAAAACTGATATGAATTTTCCTACTCCCACAAAATACAACTTAGTTCTTTTAAGATCACACAGAATTGTTAGAAAAACTAGAGAAAATTACCTTTCAGAAATACAGTGCTATAATCTAAACACCAGAAAAAGATTTCTGGTGGAAATGTTGTTTACAGACAGAAAAAAAAGTTCAACTAAAAATGTCTCATTGTTTTTCTAATAGAGAAATGTTCTTATGTTCTTTGTAGAATACATAGGCCGTAAAATTTTCAAATAAAGGAACCCTAACACTAGATTCATCATTTTTCGTCTTTTTCCAGTTTTCAACAATTATTTTGAAAACTTATTGACAAATCATAAAGTTATCTCTAATGCACAAACTATAACATTAACGATAAAATTTCCTATTGGAAATAGTACTCTATACATTGGAGACAAAGTATCTTTTTCGATTAGTAATTGTTTACAGACAACAAAATATAATTTACACAATATAACCAATAGATCCCTTGCTACACTCCGAATCTACAAAAATATATATTTACAGCAGTAGGTATATTTTTTCTTGTATCTTTCTTATTAAATAAAATAAAACTTCCATTTACAATCTATACAATTAGCTATAAATATACATAGTTGTAAATTACTTCAGGAAGAGACCTATTTTAGATTTGGAGGGTAGCAAAAGATTGTTGATTTTACTATGACTTGTAATATTTTTTTTCTTTGTCTAACTTTTCGGAACAATACTCTAATGTGTCAAATGTAGCATCCTTTCTAGAAGAAAATTATATCCAGATGGTGCATTAGAGATATAATTTTTTGATTTTCAAAACAAAACGGTTTGAGACAAACCGGAAATAAAATTATAGTTTAAATGTCAAATATTAACTGTGTTTCCGTTTTATTATGTTTACACAGTAATTTTTACCAGAAATATTGCACCAATTAAAAAATGACTAGAGATCGATTATGTTTTTAACCTAATGGTGAATAATTGTTTTTTAATTTGCCTTTTTAGTTTTTTAATTATTGAAATAAAAATTTTAGAAAGAATGCGAATATGTATGACAACAATTCTTTTATTATTTTTAATTGTACAACTTCACAATCGGCTAATTATATAGTTGTTTTATAGATCGCTATGCGTTTACCTTATTTTGATATACCTACCTAGGTAATTAAAAATAGGTACCTATATTTATTTCATATTTTCTAAAGTTATAAATTGTTAATACAACTTTTTCTACACTTCATTTAGTTTGATATTATTAAAACAAATAGGTACGGATATGATTGATAATAAAACGAACGTGAGGTGACCGCTGTTGTAGGTGATTAGTTGGGAAGGTAGTAGTAGGGAAACACCTGATGTACTTAACTACTTATATCTGTACTCAACGATTATTCATTGCTAACGAAAAACGATTCTAAGTAGAGTTCGATTAATAGTGTTACTTTGTCAACAATATACATATTTATAGGAATGTTATAATATGATAAAATAATTAAATATAAATAAGTAGGTGGTACCTATTATATATTTTCTTTGAGAATATTTGTTTAATATTGTACCTACCTGTTTTTCAAATTTATTGGAAAAACTCTTGAGAAAATCAAAAAATGACCCCCATAAAATACCTTCCGAGTCAAATTTTCATTAAGAAAAAGTGCTATCATTGTATATCGAAACAAAATTGCTAGTAAAAAAAAAAATATATAAACATCATTGTAAAACCAATACATTCTTCGCTCCACTCAAAATTTAAAATATGTCATTCGAATAAATTAAATTGTATGTATTTAAAAACAAGTTATCAACCGCCTACTGGTATGAGTGAAAATCATTATAATAGCCTTTTAAGGTTACTTATACAGAACGATTTATTTATCATCAACCAGCAATTATCTCAGAGGATTTTAGGTGAATTTAATTTCTGTTTTATCTAATCACTATGGAATCGTTAAAAACCATCTGTAATTGTTTACCCCTACTCCATGTACCTTAAATGAGTGCATACTTTTGATTTTCAAATAGGAAACTCCCCTTTTGAACATTGATTTGAATAGAGAATATTTTTTTTTAGAAATTTCGATATGCATAACACTAATATCATATTTATCGTCTATGAGTTATAACAATTTAAAGTTTTGACCGGAGGAATAGAGAACGGTCATGGATAGGCAATTTATGACATCGCTCCATTCCCATTACAGTATATACCGTTTGTACGTCGGACCTGCCTACCTCGGAAAATACCACAGTCGGAACATATATGCCGATGATACCGCTTTATTATCAGCTTCTTCCGACCACACCATTGCGTCTCAACAACTTCGAAATCGCATAAATACACTTTCACAATGGTTCACCAGCTGGAAAATTGTAATCAACGAATAAAAATCCTCCATTGTCACCTTCTCGCTCAGACCTCAAAACTGCCCAGCCGTAACTATCAACGTCATCATTTCTCACTCGAATGAAGTTAAATACCTTGGTCGTACTTTTGACAGGCGCTTAACCTGGCCTCTCCATCCCGAAGACAAGCGTAAGAAACTTAACTCCAGACTCCGTCGGTTAAAGCCACTCCTTCGTTCCAACCTAACCATGTCCATCAAAATCATTTTACACAAAACACTTCTTCAACCAATGTGGACATATGGTATAGTAATCTGGGGCTCTGCAATGAACTCAAATAAAAGAACCATACAAGCAATCCAAAACAACTGTCCGCGGTTAATCACGGGTGCACCCTTAAATTACCTTCCATAAACGAATTTGCTGCTACCTACAACAAACGGCTTCCACGTTTAACTACTAGATATTCCAAACCAACTAATCTACAAGTTAGCTTCTTGGACTTGGAAACTTAAGAATTAATAACTTAAAAATATTACGAGATGTCACAAATTTATGATTTCCTCTTCATGTTTATGTAAATGTCAACTGTTTGTAAATTATTAATATTACTTATTGTACATTCTGTAAAGATCGTAATTTTTCAAATAAAGCTTTTTTTTAAAAAAAAAAAAAAAAAACTATCATTACATTTACCTACTATTGGGTTAGTATTATAACATTACTTAATAATAAATCACCATAGTGTTAACGGAAAAATGTACGAAATGTATTAGTAAATAATATGACCAATCTATGTCTGTGAACAATTATCTACTAAAAAACTTTCTACGAAATATAGACCAGCACTTTTATTGAAAGATAATTTTCTCAAGTTGCTGCAGTGGGGAAGTCATATTTTGATTTTTCAAGGGATTTTCGAAATAATTGGGAAAAACCTCAAAGAAAATTATAAGTAAAACGTAAATGTTTATGGCGCGCCGCGGCAGTTATCGTTTTCATTGTTTTTATTCTGTTTGCACAAGGTTTTTCTACTAGAAATATTGCTCCAATACAAAAATGACAAGAGATCGATTTTGTTTTAAGAACTTTATGTATCCCACTCACCCCACTACCCATCAACAAAAGTGCCACTTTTTATTTATTTTTTTTATTGTTCTTGTGATATAGATTTTTCCATGAGATATACAAAATTCTACGCAAATATAATACGCACAGTGCTCGAATATTTACACAAATTTCTTAATTTGTTTAAACCTATTCAATTTAATGTTTTTTGACACAAATTTGATTCATGTATCGGGTGTCATATACTGAACGAAATGTTATCATTTCCATTTGCATAGGTACCATTGCACTTTTTACAATTTTGTGGAATCCAGAAATCCAAAAACAAATGCTGTATAAATACATTCAATTTGGATTTTGAGAACATATAAATGCATATTTTAGAATTACATTATGACTTTAAATCATCCGTTATAATGAATACTACCGTTTTACGCGTACCAATCAATGTATTGCATACCTATTGGTGCGTTTACTTGGTAATTTTTATAATTATTTTAGTATCAAATGTTGACGAAAATATTGAATATTACTTCCGTTCAAAAGATGTAAACCAAACTCAACTCAGAAACGTGTTTTCGTTAACAATGGTTAATTGTTGCATACAGATATACATTAAATTCTCCTATATTTCCTACTTTATCAATTTCTCACCTACAACAGTGGCCCACCTATCGTGTGCAGTATGTCTGTCATTTTTTAAATTTATACTACTTCAACCAGAAGGGTATCTAGATGTAAAATTTGAGATTGAGTGTATTTTAAATTATTAAAACAGAAAATTACATACAAATTCAAGATAATAAGTTCTTTAAGGAACATATTTCAGTTGTAAAAGATAAATTTATAAAGATAAATACATTCCTTTCTTATTTATCATTCAACAAAAGAATATGTAACTTAATATACCCAACTTGAGAATTAAATAGTTGATAGTATAATTTATGATTAACATCTCTTAAATAAAAATTATTTACCAATTATTAACAATTTGTAGTACTGTAATATTGCAATACTTGGCATTTTTTTTTTTTTTTTTTTTTGTCACATTTGTTGTACTCTATGAATAAATTATTGAAGGTCACATGTAGTAGACACGTGGTTCTTTGTAATCTTTGTTATGCACTAATGATGCAATAACTAGCAATTCAACACAAGAGTGGTGGACTGTGTAGTGTATTGCGTATTCTAGTTAAGGCAGTGATAATAGAGATTAAAATAATATAATTTTATCTATATATCAAACTGCATCACATTCTCAGTAGGTAGGTAGGTACAGAATTATTTTATTATTTGAATTACCTGTATTATAATCTTTATTCATAATTTGTTTAATATGATCTTAAAATGTAATAGTTATAAACAAATAATAATAGTTAAACAAAATAACATTAAAAAAAAAATAAACAAAAATATTTTTCAATATTAAATCAAAAAAATAAAAAAAATATTGTAATATTTTTCAGCAATTATTAATTACAACTTTGTATTAAAAAAAAACAACATAGCAAGTATTAATAGTGCATTTTTACTTGTGTATTAAAATTTAAACACAAAAAAAAAAAACAAGTGTATCGGCACATCGCATAAAATACATGACATAAAAATAAACTTAACAAATAAAATCTAATGACATACAAATTACAAATCACAAATTATACTTTAGACAGAGAGAAATCTTAAGATATAAATATTTATTTTATATTAATACATACATAACATTAGCCATAAACTTAGTAACTTTATTTACTTAAATCAATTAACCGTAATAGAATAATAAATAAAATATAATGCATAATTCTTATTTTTAAAAGTATAAACTGTTTTAGTAAAATTAAAAAATATAATTAAATGAAAATGTAAAGTGGTACTGGATTTATCACATACTGAACACAAACATGACACATTAATGTTATTAATAATCTATGCTTTTAAAACTTTATTATTCTTATTATTAATGAGCATCTTTACTTTTACAGGAGCTAAATTTTTTAAAATATGCTGAGAAATTAATTTCATACAATAATAGCAACACTACTCAATCCAATCAGTTTTTAGATTTTAAAACTAATATTGATAATTATTCAAAATGTGAGCAAAAAAAAAAAAAAAGTAAACAATGAATTTAAATGTTTATTTTTTTATGATTAAATTATGTTATGAATAAGTTGACCATATCATCCCTATCATAATTTGATAAAATACAAAAATTACTTTGATTTTTTTCCTCCCTTTAATATAGATATTTAAAATATGTGATTTTAACATCTACAAAATGAATATAGGTACACATATAATATTCCAAAAAATACAGTTGAGTGAACTTAAAAATATAGCCCAATTCAAAGAAAATTATATTAAAAAAAATTGTTTTATAATGTGTTATTCTTTAAGAAAATGAGCAAACTCGTATTGTTATCACATTTCTATGAGTAGGTAACTAAGTTTTTCCAACAATTTTTCTATTAGTAACTTATCCCCTTTTTTAATACAAATATTTAATTATTTTTGGTAGAGTTTATAAAAAAAACTAAATCAAACATATATTTTAACCATAATTAATGATTTGGGAGCAGCAATATATTTAAATAAAAAAAATACAATATTAAAGCAAGTGATCAGTAATATTGTACATGATCACACATAAATATTTGCAAACTATAATGTATCCTTAATAAACATTATTCAAATAATTTTTTAATTTGATTTAACAATAAAATAAATTTTAAACTCTAATACTCAAGCTGTATGACAAATACATATAATATGAATAATATGAAAATCATGGCTAATAAAGTTAAATCAATAGAATTTTATTTATATTTTTTTAATTTGTCTGTATAAATTACAATGACCTAGTCAGATTTAAAAACATGTTAATATTATTAATATAATAATTAAATTGTGCTTCCATGTACACATGCAGCAGTTACTAACTGCAAACATCAAAACTAACTCCCGAAACCTTTGGTAATTAACCACCAGCTATACTACAGGTTGTAAAAATCCCAAATATTAATGTAATTAAGAAATACACTTTAAAATTATATATACCCTAATATTATACACACATATTAATTTGTTTACATTATAAATTAAATCAGTTTATAGTTTCATTAAACACACACATTTTAATTTGAAGATCATTCTAACAATTTAAGATAATTAACTTACATTGATATACATTTTTTTTTTACATCAAAGATTCTGAAATTTACATTTAGGAAAAATCAAAATTTGTTAACTTGTAGTTAAAAGCATATACCAACTATTTTATTCTATTCTAGAAACCAGAAATAATGTACAATTTTAGCATATATAAAATGTCTCTTTTTAACTTCACCCAATCATCTTTTTCTGTGTTTAGATCATTATTAGTTATTTAATTGTTACAATTAGCTCAAAGTATAAGTAAATTTGATAGGTAGAAATTTTGTTATATAAAAATTGTACATGTTTCCAGCATCAGATATGGGATGACCAGCTCACCGAGTTTTAGCATTTCCACAAATTCAAAATTATATAAAATAAAATGAATTAAGTATAAATGTAATAAAAACCAAAATAATTATTTTTTACTGTCCACTAAAATTTACTAAGTAGCTTGCCGATTTAATACGGCCCTGCATGTTTCTTCTGTTTTACCATTTTCATAAATTACAAAAATTTGTTTTCATAAAATTAGTTTAAACATCACCACAATCAAAATAAAATATACATGAGCAAATTGAAAGAATTCTCCTTTAGTAAATTTTCATTGTAAGACCAATGTCGATTATAAAAATGAATTGAAAATAATTAAATTAAAATCATGTTTAAAAATGTATCAAAAAGAATTTAGGCAATTCCTAATTTTCAAATTTTTTTTAGTAATTTTATTATGAAATATAAAATAACGTAATCATTAAAACACAAAATAGTGTTATTAACAATATTACATAATTGATTTTGTAGTTGAAAAGTTTGACATTACAAGTTATATATTTTATTGTTGTTTTCCATAACACCAAATTAAACTTAAATTTAAAAAACCTGAATATTTTAAGAAATTGCAGTGTATTATAGAAAAACCATTAAAAAAATTTAATTTTTCTTTAAAAAAATTCAACTCCCACAAATATTAAATGCACTTTTAAAATAAAAAAATATAGTTATAAACAATTTGCAACAGTGAAAATCACAATATAAAGAATAAAATTGTTTTTCATAAAAATTCCATACTTTCGACTGAAAAATAAATCTTTACTGATATTTGTCATATTAGATAAATTTAAGGTACATCAATTACATTAGAGCTTTTAAAAATAACTGAATAGGATAAATATAAAATATAAAAACTTGAATTGTAATTTTTAATAAAAATTATCTTTTAGTAGAATTGAAATAATTGTGTATATATTTTTATTTAAAAATAATATGTTTGTTACTGATAATTATTTGAGAATATGTTTAACTATTAAATACCTTATTAGAATTATCAGGCACCACAGATTTGTTTTCATTATTATCTTAATTATTTCCCTCTTTAACTTACTTGAAATATGTAATAATAAAATGACCGACATTGATCTAAAACATTTGAGCTTTCAAATTTTAAAAATAGAACCATTACTTATATAAAATATTTAAAAATTAAATTATTAACGTAACATAGATACACATCAAATTGTTTTTTTTTTTTTTTTTTTTAAATGTATATATTTAAATAATATAGATGTTTTAAATAAGCACATGCATAATATATCATTTAGCTCATATTAAAATTAATTGAACAATACTGTAATGAAATGGTTCTACTCAATAAAATGTACATGCATGATGATTTAGTTAAAAATCTTTTCTTAACAATATTAAACACATATCTAATAAGTAATAATATTCAAATATATTTACACGGTAGTAAAAATATATGCTAAAAAAAAGGCAATAATATAATAAAAATAATAACAAATCAAAATTAATTTGACAAAACATAACAGTTATTTTGCAAGGATAAATCAAAGGAGTCATTAAAAATTAAATATCAATACTAATTTGCACAAAATTAACATACTTTTAAGGAAGCTGTAATGGTTTTATAATTGACAGTTAAATGTATTATGGTATTGTAGATATAAAAAAACAATTGTAGCAATAATTATATTAACGACTCCATTGATGAACAGATAAATCAAAAGAAAGTTAATTTTTGGCTGAATGATATTTTAACAACTTACATAAACTTAAACACTTACATAAAGACTAGGGTAACGGTACTTAACTGTTGGCAACTATAGTTCATCCAGGCCACCTCGCCGTGCACCTAATTTGGATTTCTCCAAAACTTTATTCACAAACTCTGTAGTTTGTCCGGCAACTTTAAGTCCTGAACAAAACAAGGTAAAATTAAAATTTAATACAAAATTACAAACATATAAAGTATTATTAAATCTATTAATTTTTTTTTTTAATTACATTATATGTATAAAATAATACAATTACTAATTATCCATTAATAGTAGTTATTCTCAGAAAAGTATTTAGTTATTTAAGTAGCTTACACTATCCATTTAATTTTCATTTTTCGATACATTTTAAAAATAATTTAAATTACTTATTAGTTATAGCGTTAAAAAATGTTAATTTATATTATTTTAAAATGCACTTAAAATATTCATGTTTTTATTTTTGTAGGTTTAATTTTAATTTTAATGTAAATATATTAAATAAGTTCTCATTTAAAAAGCAAAGTTAGTATCACCACAGGATACTCCTTAAATTTTGTGAAAAATCTAAGTATTTGAAAATATTTTCTTTAACAACACATATAAATTTCAGGAATTAGAATTTGAATGCAAAATTGACAAAAAAAATAAAAATGAAATGAGCACACTTAGTGAATCAACCTGTCTATATTTTTTCTAAGAAGAAAAATAAATACTTACTTGTAGCATTTTTTGCAATTTTCTCACTAGCTTTTGTCAGCTCTTGGGTTTCATTTGGAAATGAATCACTTGTTGTTCGAGTCACTAACATTTGTTTAACTTGAGCTATAGCATTTATTAAACGCCCTGTGAAATACATTATTTAAGTATTACATTGTTTTAATTTTCTTAAATTACTTTTTAAAATAATAAATTCAACAAATAGGAAAAAATTACTGTGTTCTGTTTCTAAGCCAAAAAGTTTTATTTTGTTCGCTTCATGCTGAGCTTTCTTCTTCAATCGACATGCTCTAAAAAAATAAAATATTATTCTTCAATACATATATTATATTAGTATATATCGTTGATTCCAGGGATAAAGTTTTTAAGTTTTTATTATTATTTTTTTTTTAATTTTAAGAATTTTTTTCATGTTATGTATTTATTTTCCCTTTACTTTTTTTGGTTAAAATAAGATAATGTATTTTCAAAATTTAATTTGCCTATATTGAAAATTATACAAAATTACTTGAGTCATTCTCAGAATTTATATTCAATAATTTTAATCACTCATTTAGAACTCTTTAAGTAAGTATACAAAGATTAAAATTTTTAAAAAAAAACCGCTTATAAATACTACAAATGTAATTTAGAAAAATGTTACATTATTGTTACTAATGATTAAAAAAAAAAAAACTGAAATGAATGGATCAAAAATCCCATTATATACACACACACACACAAGCCAAAAGCCGAGTATAAATTTGTGAGGTGGACCTCTTCACAAGAAATATTTAGAATAAGGGTGTTTGATGATGAACTAGCTGTTCACGTAGATCCACCTAAGATAGTTTTTTGACAAGCACAAACTAAATTTAGTATAAGTGTGAATGGAATTTCAAAAAGTTTGTCATGGTAGGAGGCAGCCATTTGTTTGGTGTAATTTTGGTTTGCTCTATGATATATGAGCTACTGGCAAGTGCATATGAGAAGATAATGAACATGGCACAAGTGTTTGGCTAGCAAGTCTATACTTTCCGGCTTAGTTTTTAAAAATAATTGTTTACAATCATAGTGAAATAGTACTAACCCACACAACATAATTAGCATTCTAAAAAAACCATAGTTAATATTATAGGTGTTAGTTTTATTTATTCATGTTTAAACAGAATTAATTTGTTAAAGTATCTTCATTCTTAAATCATGATCAGTTTTATCATGTAATAGAATCTGAATTTTCATTAAAATATCTGACATATTATCTTATGAATATTAAGGTTAAGGATTTTACTCTTAATAATAAATCAAAATATAACCATACCTGGAAGCCAATTTGTTCTTTTCTTTGCGTGTATTTGGTCTGACATTAAATGGCAACTCGCTAACTGGTGTCATTTCATTTATACTTCTATTCAATTTATCTAGTTCTCTACCAATGGATTGTAATTTTTTAGGATTAGGTGTTAAATCATTACCATCTCCTTTTCTTGCTTTACCACTATTATATTTTAATAATATAAAATTGAATATAATAAACTACAATTATTTATATAAGCTTACCTATGCTTAATGCCTTGTATTGAGCAGTTTGGACTAAATACAGGATCAGTAACTTCATTTAAACAATGTGGATCCTCAAGTTTACTTTTTAACACTAACCGTTGACCTTTAGGACCTTTTGATTGAACATTATACTGCCAAAAAAATCTGTCTTTGTGTGAAGATGATTTGGCAGATGTCCCTCCACAGTCACTTTCACCACCTGAATCTACAAAAAAAAAAACCATAGTATATAATTTCAAGTTTAATATTATTTAAGTACTATTTAATTTAACCATTATCGGATGAATAATCTTCTTCTTGTTCTGTATCATCATCAGAATCATCTATAGCTTCATCTAAAGAAAAATCATATGCTTCTGGACTCAAAACACCTCCTAAAATATTCACATAAAATATTAAGATAAACAGATTTTATATGAATATTTATATATTACACACCCGTAGAGAGTGAAGATGTTGAACCTGCTTCCACTAATGATCCAGTAGACAGTAAATGTTGTCTAGGTTCTCTACGCTGCCATATTTGTTCAAGTCCTAGATGAGTAGGAGCAGATGATGAAAGACTTCCTCTTGATCTGTTAGATAACAGAAAACCTGATCCAGGTACACTTGTTCCAAAATTAGGGGGTGACAAACACTTTTGTGGTTTTGCTTCTTTTCTCAAGAGCTCTTGTAGAGTTATTGAATTTGTTGGTCCAGGAGAAAGTGATGAACGTGAACTGCAACTATTTGGCGAAAGTTGAAAACCAGATTTTGAAGAACTTGGTCGATTAATAGGACTAGTATTCACAACGTGATCTACAATGTATGAATTCATTAACGGAACTGTATCAGATATTTCAGATTTGATTGAATCAGGTGGCAGTAGTAAATCATCAAAATTGAGGTCTTCTAATAAAGATCCACCCCCATTGTCATTTAATTCAGCTAATGTTGGCCCATGAAGTAAATCTGATTGATCCACCTGCATTAGAAAATCAAGGACTCATAAATTTCCTTAACCACAAACACTTTTATATAATCAAATAATAAACATAAAGACTCAGTACATCTTAATTGAAGTTAATTGTTAAATAATAATCACTAGGGCTCGGATTTGTACACATTTACATCTTGATTATTTTTGGTTGATTGCAGATAAATGTGTCTTGTTAATATAGAAAATATTCATTTAAACACAAAAAACAGATATTTCATACAATTATAAATAAATGTACTTCTGATTTTATAACATGAAATAATAATTTCAATGATATATTAAAATAACATTTCTAACATGCGTGTATTTGACGTGTCATCAATAATGACAAATTAGCCAAACATGTTGAAATAAAAAAAACATTATAGTTATCCACATTAGTAATTTTCAAATTGTACTTGGGAAACTCTTAAAATGCCTTGTGGATTAATTTATATTTAAAAAAATCTATTTATTAAGTACTAAGGAGTTCTACTACTCGCTTACTTGGCTTGCCAACAGATGCATGGTTACATAAATAACATACATATATAAAGATAAGAATATCAAAATTTGTTTCATACAATTCAAAAAGAATAGTTGTTAATATTTAAATTAATGATACAAGTAAATAAACCAGTTTCTACTTTTTTTTTAATATGTTCTTACTAAGTTTTATGGTTTGGTGTATATAAATCCTAGCCCTATTAATTATTGAACAAGTACTTCTAGTCAATAAAATTAAACTATTGAATATTTAACTAATAGTTATGTACCAAAATATTAATTTTTGTGACATTCTATGAAAAAATTGTGTATCTATAATATGATTAAATATTCTGAATACCTATTTATCCAGGATATTATCTCACAATTTGTGTCAGTTTCATAAAGGAATGTATACAATATCAACTAATATCTTTTTGTGTATCATTTCAGCTTATTGTTTAATATCATCAATCTTAAATTAAATTAGTCAGTTAATTCTTGAGAAAATGGATGAATATATTATGAAGCTTGTGATCATAAAATAGTAATCAATTTTTATCTTTTTTTAATATTCTATTTTAGATAATTTTACTAATTTAATTTAAAATTGTCTTTACTTTAAAAAAAAAATGTTAATATTTACCTACTTCTACTAAATATAGTTTGAGTTGGGTAGAGGTTGTTGTAAATAACAACACATTTTACTAAATATCCCAGATAGCCATTTGATAGTTTTCATATATGATTTAACTTCATTGTAAGGTATCGGATAAGAAGTCCTACTGTATCATATATGGACTTCATTTATTATGTAAGTATATTTTAAATTTATACAACATTTTTTGATAATCCCTCCCAAAAAGTTCAACTTGGGAATATTGTATAGGTAGTCAATTTTACAAGTTTACATAAATGTTATCCTTCTTATGTAACTTTTTTCCTCTGTAAAACATATAGCCGAATAATAATATGAATATGTATATAACTTGTGTTTCAATAATTGTATTAGATACAATTTATTTAAAAATCATAAATTATAAAATACCTACTAATTAGGTAATAGTCTTATAATATCATCAAAACACATCAATAGTTGATTGATATCTATATGGATTTATTGAATCAATAATAACTTTTGATGTGACTCGTTAGGAGAAATGTGTTCCTTATATTGTACCGGGTAGTTAAATTACGTCCCTAATATTTGTATAAAGTAGGTAGATTGTTTCTTAGTTGCTATTTAGTCTATTAACGTTTCTTAGAAGACAGTGCAGGGAGGTTGGCAATATAGTCTACCAAACATTTATTATTTATTATTAATAATGTTCAAATATTTATTCATTCATCAGAATTTGTTATTTATACCTATTATATTATGGCATATATATTATATATACATATAAAACCATATTATTAACTAATTTATTCGATGGATAAATTTAATTGGAATAACTTTAAGATATTCAAACCACAGTAGTTTATTATCATATTATGTAATTTATTCTTGTAGAGTGATTTTTTTTATATTCGAGTTTTTTAGCCACAACTTCTTAATTTCACGTATGTATCAGATTTACTTTAAAAATTTGGGTGGCTGGTGAAAAAGATATTATTTAATTTTAAATGAAATTGTTACTAAATAATTATTTATTTTGAAAAGATTTAATTTGTATTTTATAACATGCTGAGATAAGTCTAAATAAGGGCCTGGCAGTAGTGAGGCAGTAATGTTAGCACAGATTCCCCTAAAATATTGATTTAAAAAGAAAAATGTCCTATTAAGGACGTTGTTTATCTATTCAGTAAGAATATTGGAGACGCAATTTACCTAATAAAAATAAAAACATTGGGGACGAAATTTACCTACTCGGTAAATATTTTGGGGATGCAATTCAACTAGTCGACATCGCGACAATTTTTTTCAGATGAAAATCACATAATTAAAAAAAAATTTCCCTGTAAATAGAATTTAACAAAATATAATTAAAAGTAAGAAGGATTATTAAAATAGCTAGTTAAAGCTAGTTAATAATAATAAATAATAAAAATACCTATTTAAAAAGTAGTGAACATTTTAAATTATAAGCGATAGTTTTTTTTTTTTTAATGCAAAATTGTAATCAATAATAGTTAAAAATTTAGTAACTATTATACTACATGTATGTTGATATTTAAAAACTAACTACATTTATTAACCCCATCAAACTACCACACCAATTGGATCAATAAAAATAAATTTAGTTTGGAGGGAATAAATTAATTTATAATCATACATTTTCTTTTTGGCTAACTAGCACTAGTCTCACACGACTTTGACCATAGTATCAAATGATAACAAAATTAAAAAATAAAAACAAGTTCTGCCAAGAGTCCTTGTTTTCAGTCCCATCCTCATCATTAATTAACCCATAAATATTTAAAAAGTTGTTCACAGAAAAAAAAAATTGTAGTATTTTACTAATATATTTTGTAAATGTTTCATTTTTTTAATCGGTTTTTCACATTTAATAAGAAAACTCCTGTGAAAATTTAAAAATTACTTCCTAAAGTACCTCTCCACACCAATTTCCTTTCAAAAAAGGTATTACTATTAAAAATTGGAGCAAGTTTTCTGGTAGAAAAGTTGTTCACAGATAAAAAAAAAAATAAAAAATAAAAATAAACATCTTTGCAAAATCATAAACTTCTTTGCTACACTTAGAATTTAAAATGCATTTCTTTGTCCGTGAGGCATGAGTAGCTATTCCCCTTAGTTTTGTCAGTGCACAGTATTAAATGGTCTTGTGGTTTCTGAGATTTACCATTACCAAGAAAAATTCAATTCCACATTTTATACAGAATAGCTTAAATCATATTATTACTATTTTATTATCCTCTATTAATAATTCTACACATAAACAATAAAAGTATTCAATTTTTGTGAGCTGAAATGAAATTCATGTGTAATTCACCTTAAAGCAATCTTTATGGATTAAAAAATGAAGCAGGAAGCTATAAACCCAGAATTTTGAGGAACATAAGAGTAAAATTTGGTGCCAATTGGTATAGTTATTTTTAGTTTTTGAAATCAATAGATCATAAACAAAATTAACATTAATTTCTACATAATAGAATATCTTAATAATGTGAAATGTCAAATAATCTTATCAAGATGCTATTTTGTAGAAGAGCTCAATTTTGTTTTTACTAACATTATTAAACATTTATTAGGTTCCTACCAACTATTTTGATATGTATTGGTATTCTTGTCTTATGTGATCTGCCTTTTTGTACCTATAAATAATATTATAATAAATGACCTAGATACCTATTTATTATACAATATTTCATTTAAATGTTCAAGCCATTAAAAATAAATAGGCACCTATTTTGTTTTATGTTTTTTTCAATGATTGTTTTTAAATTTGTATTATTTATACAATATAGAAAATTGAGTAAGAAGATCATGCCCTAAACAACTTTTAATAAGTTATTTTACTGATATAAAAAACTTTATGTATGTGGATTATATCTATCTACAAGTTTAAATTGTGCAGATAACTATTTTTATTTTGAAGTTAAATCATAAAGATTTCAAAGAATAATTTAAACAAAAAATAATCTATAGGAATACTTATATTTAAAAAGTAATAGGAACTTGATTTTCTTACCTGAAAAATATCTTCATCCATTTTTATGTAAGACATATCATCAGATCTTCCGATCCATCCGGTATCATTAGTAAAAAAGTTTTGATCAGCATTGTTGACTACCATAGGATCTTGAATAAGATCATTATTTGTGTCAAACAATTCAAAACTATAATCTTGTAATGAATTAAGATCTCCATGCTTCCGTATTGGTATTGGCATTCCTATTGATGAACTTTCAGTAGGATAATCAGCTTTTAATACACGTTTGGTTTCTATTGTGCCAAATAAATTTGTATAATCTTTATTATTCATTTTGATTTTCTTCCTTTAAACTTAATACACGAGAACAATATTTTTTTGTGTGTCGATTCTTTTTATTCAAATTAACAATAATACCTTAAATTAATTTGGTTCAAAAAACTCTCACTTTTTCACAATTCTTCTTAACCTAAAACACAATACAAAAACAAACAAATATATTAACCCAAGCATTAATCTTAAACATATGTATATGTATAAAAAAATTAAATAAGAAGGCAAAATAATTTATAACACTAAAAAAGTATCCATACTTTTAAATTAATCAAGTAACAATAAACAAACAAAACGCAGGCATGTAAAAATATCAAGATAAATTATACTCATTCTATAGATTGGTATTTTTAAAGACATACTTAAGTAATAAAATACATGTTTAAAAATGATTAATACAAAAAAAAAATATAAACAGCATTTGCATAACAATATAATGGCATAAACAATAATAATCAATGAATTGCTTAAATAAAATGAGAAATAGATACTAATAACTATAATTGAATACCAAGAAAATTGTCAAGTTTTAAAAAGTCTGTTGAAATTTGTTTATATTTTATTAGTTACACATTAATCTAGAGTATATGATTGTTTAAATATATCTACCAATCAGGTAAGTTTTTAAAAAAGTAAAGCTTTGAATTATAGATTCAATCATAATGAGAAAAATACATTTTAATGATAATGTATGAATTAGAAATAAACATTAATATTTATAAGTTATAAATGAGTATCTTTAATATTGTTATATTTCCATTAAATTTTAGATAACAATAATTCTGCTTTTACTTTTGCATTTTAAGATATTACCAACCTAAAAACTGATAAATTTCATGCGGGCGCCCATAGTACCTATAACAAAATAGTTTGGTACCTAACTATATTACTTGGTCATTTTTAGGTACTTTTAGAAAATAGCTGGATAGAAAACTATTTATTTAACATCAAATTATAAATCAAAAATGTATAAAAATAAATTCAGCATTAAGTATAATTTTAAATAATACTAATTGAATATTTCTAAACACCTAGGTATTAAATGTTTATTAATTTTTTTAATAAAATTCACTCGAAAATATACATATTTATAGGTGCATTTAAAAAAAAAAGGTATTATGTATTTTTATGATTATAGGATAGGTTATTAGCCAATAAATATACGGTTTTTCAATCGTCTTCTTCATTTATGAAAAATTTACTTTTATTTGAGTGAATGAACGGGTGGTAAAATGAACAAATTCCACTCCCCCCGAAATCTGTTCTCGATATGTCACTCTGTCAAACACAAACATATGCATGCATACCTTACAGCATATACGTAATATACGTATACAAATAATAACACCTAATACCTACTTACAGGTATTTATAATGTTTATAAATTATATAATATCTAGATATATTAAAGAAAGGTATACATAAACACATTGTTATTAAAAATTAACAGCTGTTTATAAGTAATCTATTCATCATAACAATGTGTGCAATGACTAATGGTGTAATATTAAACAGTGAAAATGGTGTAAAATTATTAATATTGAATTTAATTTAACTTTAAAAAAAAAAAAAAAAAAAAAATGAATTAAAATATTATACTTCGTGTTGTTATTATTACCTATATTATAGGTACTGTAAATAAACATAATAAGTAATATAAAAGATTTATACCTAAGATTTGGAATGACCGAGGTTTTAAAACGAATTTGCATATTAAGCATGGCACTGTGCAACAAGTTTGGCTTGCGAAATTTACCACAATTCATTCTCGACGTTTCACATACACTCACAAAAAACACGCACGATTAAAATTTTTGTTGGTCCAAACGAGTTGAAAGGCTATCTAATATTAAACCAAACACATACACACGCGCGCGACCACACATAAATATTTATTAACATCGTGTACACAATCATATTATTATACGTACACTACATATAAAACGAATTTTAGGCTGTACAAAGCAATAATAAAAAAAAAAGTAATAATAATAATTGTTTTGTGTAGCCATTAGGGGTTATCAAGGACACATGATAATGATAAGGGGCCACGAGGATGGGAAATGATTAAGAGAATTCTTTGTTTATTTACCTTTTATCGTTCGAGAAAAAAACGTCCAGCAAAACCGTAACGGTGGCGGCGGGCGACGGCACTACCGCGGGGTCCTCCTTTGGCGTCAATTCAATACGGTGACGGGCGAGCGACAAAGAAACGCGCGCGGCCATGACTTTCAACAGCGAGCAGGTGGCCCCCCCCGCGGGAATTTATAATCGGTTGCGATTTTTATAATTTTTTTTCGACTCTCTTAATATATAATATTAGGGCAGGTGTTATTATCAGTTATCGAATAGGGGGGTACCGTGCGCGTAAATGAAGGAGTACTATTATAATAATATATTGATATACAACGTGCACGCACGCACACGAAAAAAAAAAAAACAATCGCAGAGAAAATTATAACATAAATATAAATATTATTATTATTATAATAATAGACGATACCCACTTGTTGGTCCAAGTCGAATATGAGGATTAACCGCACAAAGCGACGCGATGGTGTCGTCCGTATATTTTTTTTCGTTAATAACAGGCGACACGAAAAAAAAAAAAACAAAACAAACTTCAATATTAATATAATATAATTAACAATATTAATATAAAAGCGTTGGCGCAGAGAGATTACAGCGATCGGAACTGCTCGTGTGCACGAGAAACCCGTTGGCCTGGCTCGTGTTTACATTACACTATAGAGCAATAGCATTAGCGCCGCATTGGACGCGAGTCGAAAGCAAAAATAATAATAATAGTATAACCAGAAGAAAAAAAATAATAATAATAACTATTCATAATAATAATAATAATAATAATAATAGTAGTAATGATAAATAAACATCTTGGTCTTTTGGGCTAATGAAATCAAAGGTCACATGACGAAAACTCGATCGATGGCACCTTGTTTACATTCGCTGGCCAATGGCGCACCGTGTTGCCCCACTCCGGGGGGTTTCTGATTTTCGAACCGACCGACGAATATTATAAATCCAACCCGTCCCAAACTGGGTCGTTCGGGGTTTCAGTTCCCGGCCCCCGGGCCACCCGTCGTGGAATTTTCATACAGAGCGTACGAGTACCGAAAAAAAATGTTTCGTTACTCATAGACAGTGCGGCCCCGTGGATCATACATTTTTAAGCGCAAACCTATAATTCCCTCGTTTTCTTTAACCTGTTAAGGACGTACTGTTTGTACTTGGTCAGTACTGTAATACATCTTGTTTCTATTATCTACATCAAATGTTGATACCTCAAACCGAATGTCGTGCTGCTCGAAGCACGCCCCATTCTGTACATCGTGAAACCAACGATCACGTGTGGCTTGCATGGAGGTTCATGATTCTTGAATTCATAGTAACCGGTTTTGATTGTCATACTTTTTGAAAATGAGCAGCGTTGAAAAAGGATATATAATTACTCACGACCCAGTCAAAGTAAGCTAGATTATTACTTATTATTATTAAACCAAATACCATTTAAAATCTGTTTAAACTCTGGTCTAAAAGACCAGGCATAAAAAAAATAATGATAATAGGGCCCGGGGCCCTATTATATCTGGACAAGGTCGGCTATATACGATTTTGATGCCCTAAATCTCTAATATAGGTTACGCTTTCTAACATATTTCTTTTCTTAGAAAAACAAACTTTAAATTACAACTTAGTGATTTAATATTTATGTATATAGTATATTAACAACTTTATTTTTATATCTTCTCAATAAAATTATCAATGTATTTATATTATATATCAAACATGAATTTTATTAATGATTCTTAATACCAGTATCAATAAATATTTTATAATTAATACAAAAAATTAAATGAATATTGAGAAAAACTTATTATAATTAACATATTATGATAAATAGCACTTACATTTAACATAGACATAACTTATAGTTCTTACTCCTAAAAATGTACTTTTTATTTTAGGGCAAATGTCTTGTTGCTACCAAATTTTATGAACCAGATGATTTAATTTTTGATGAAGAACCATTTGTATCCTGTCAATTTTCTTGGAATAATCTGTATGGTTATCGTGCTTGTAATCATTGTTTATGGTAAATAACAATTTACTGTAATTTTTAAATTACTATCTATAGTAATATTATATAATGTATTATATAGCCCTTTAGAAAGTATCTCAGAAAATATTACCAGATTGACAAATGCAATGATAACAGAAGTCCCTTTTGAAGATCATTGTCCTGTAAACAATTTAGTACAAAATTTTGTGCAGTGTGAATCCTGTAAAGTGAGATTATTTTACTTTAGTTAACTTAATTTCATTAAAAATTTAAAAATTAAATTTAGTAAGGGATATTTAAGTAATTTGTATAGATATTTTAGATAAAGTTATAAATAGTTTGAGACTTATAAGTACTTGCTGAAAAATTCATTATACCAACATGTATATTTTAAAATTCATTGACAACTAAACTGCATTTATGTATGTATTACAATCAAAACATTTTCTTTTATTAGGTATGGTATTGTAGTCGCAAATGTTTAGAAACTGCATATAATAGATATCACCAACTTCTTTGCAGACCTGATGGAAATGATCCATTGCATGATTTGGAAGAATTATGGAGGTAAAGTTTATTATTATTAATTAAATTTTATAGTTAAATACTATAATTATTAAAGTTCTTGGATTAAATTGTTTACCATTTGTATAATCTAAGTATATGTTGGTCCTGATTTTTTAAATAGTCACACAAAATACTTTTTGGCCTCTTTTTTTTAGAGGCTATAAGAGAATTTAATTACAGCATTTTCAAAGACCTTAGGGTCATAATTAAAGACCGGATTTATATTCTTTTATAATCTACAACAAAACGCTTAGAAACACCAAAAAAGCACTTAAAACTAATTAAAAGTGTATTTGATAGAGGGGTTTTAAAGTCCCCCTCTAATGGCTCTATGTTATTAAATTAAATTTTTAACACTACAAAACTATTCATATAAAATACATTTTTTAAAATAAAACTGTATTATAAAAAAAAAAATTACTTTTTATTAATAATTTTTGTGGTGTTGGATAATTGTATTTATAATTAAATCCATTAGAGGGGGGACTATTAAACCCCTCTAATATTTTTGTGTTTTTAAAAATTTGTTAAGTAATTTTTTTCAGGGTTTTTTGATATTTTCAAGTGGCTGTGAATTTTAAGAACATATAAATCCGGTCTCTAGTCATAATGTTGATATGGATGTCCATTTACCATTTTTTTCACTATTGTTTAAAGTTTAACAAGATTTTATTTTTATTGATTTAAAAATGTATGTAAAATATTTTAAAAATAAAACACTAGAAACAACTCAATAATATTGTGTTAATTGAATGCTCAATATCCAAGAAAATACCACTTGAATTCAATAAAATTTGTCCTACATGTTATAACTAGACATTTAAATTTTATACATTAATTTTATTTTTATAAATATTCATGTCTATGGTTACAACTTAATAATTATTAATTGTAGATATGATAACCACTAACCAGACAATATAACTGTGATAATATAAACTTATGTGTATGGAATGTTATCAATGATACAATGTTTTATAATGTTGAGTTTGTTCCTTATACTATCAATGGGATTATTTTATGTTGTTTCAAACTGTTTAAATGTACCTTCATAGAAATTGCAGCCAAAACTTTAAATGTTATCATTTTGTCCAAAGTCATCTAATATATCTGAATTTACTCACCATTGTTTGGTAATATATTCTTTAATTAACATTTTTTTTACACTTAATTAAGTTTTTATTTTTTTAGGAATCCCTTTAGGAGTCTATACTCTCTTGTATGTTAAATGTATATCTATTGAATTTTTAACATTTTTTTAATAACAGATTTTACTGAATTAAATACCAAGTAGTAAACAGTTAAATGTGTATTGAATTTATTATATTAATCAATGCTTTTTTCAATAACTGAGATGATTTTTTTTTTTATTTAATTGTGTTTAATTAAACTTGTTTAAAATTGTTTTGTAATTTTGATTCTTAGAACCATGCATTATCCGCCTGAAAGTCACAACATCATGCTATTATGTCGTTTATTGGCAACAATTGAATTATCACCATCCCCTCAACAGGCTAATCAAACCGTTTCTAATGTAAGTTAATTCTTTAATTTAAAAATATACTTTTTATTATATTTGTCTCACAAATTTAGTTTTGCCACCGAACAGAAAATGAAAATGAAAAATTGGTACACAAAATGCTCGGAGAAAAATTTATTGAGCAGATTGAACAACTTCGTTTTGGTGTTCTTAAGTCCATGTCTGTTAGAGAATCTAGTCAAGTAAAAATAAAACAATATTTAAAATAGTTCAGTTATTTAAAATTTAAATATTTTTAGTGGTTAACTCCGAGTGGATTTAAATCATTATTGGCTTTGATTGGCACAAATGGACAAGGTGTTGGTACTAGTATTTTTCAGCAATGGTCAAATAGGTGTAAAAAAAATCTTTCTTCTGATGAAATGTTATTATTTGATAATTTTGTAGAAAATGCTTATGAAGTAATGGAACAGGGTAATTTTTTTTTTTATTATTTATAAATAATAGTGGAGAGTGAAACACCATTACCAAATTCTAATTTATAACCCTAATGTATCATCTGAAATTATAATTAAATAAAGTAATATTTGTTTTAAAAAGTTGTTGGAATAGATTATTTGGATAATGAAGGTTCAGCTCTATTTCAAGAACATAGCTCTATAAATCATAGCTGTTACCCAAATGCAGCCAGTGTTTTTGATGGTAATCATGTCTTGAAATTAATTGCTGTGAGAGCAATTGAACCAGGTGATGAAATAAATACTAGCTATATGGCTCCATGTGAATTAGACCATAGCAGACATACTAGGCAAAAATATTTACGGTGTGTAATCATATTTTATCAACTGTTAACACTATAATTAAACAATTCAATAAATTATTTTTGTATTTTCAGAGAAAATTATGTATTTACATGTCAGTGTATTAAATGTGAACTACAAAGTAATGACCCTGATATTACAACTGACGATGATTCAGAAATGGAAGATGGAAATTAATTGCACCTATGAATACTTTAATTGTAATTCTTAAATGATAAATATACACCTTTAAAAATAAATTAAATAACTACATTTAATATTTACAATATTATTTGTTGTAAGTCTTGGTTTATATTGTAGCCAAGTTAATCGTACGATACGTATATATATGTTGTGACTATTCATTCATTTTTTTTTTTAAATTATTTAGCTGCCAAAATTACTTCCATCCATCGATCTATGTCATATACTTACTCCAATTTCGTATATTAATTTCTTGACGTCCTTTCATCTTTTCCGCAATCTTCCTCTTGGTCTCTTTCCCCTTGCCATATTTGTTATTCCTTCTGATTAATAATTGGATCACATTTTCTCTTTTGTATAGCTAGTATAGCTGGTTGTTAACTTTCCCATTCCCCTTCAAAGAACTTCTCTCAAATAGAAGTTAGTTTTCATCATCACCTCTCGTTGTTGCCTATGTAGCACACATATATGTTAATACAAGTCTGACATAACTTATGCATAGATGTTTTTTTGTTTTTTTTTTTACAACAATTAAGACTTGTAGAGCATTTTCAGTGCATAAAGGCAATTGTTAGCAGAACTTGATATGATATTGTTCTATCCATGCATGTTTTGGCTATTTAGTGTAGTGCCTACTTAAATTCTTACATTTGTTCAAAAGTGTTATTCAAAGGAGGTTATTATGATCACCTCTCCTCCAGTGGCATAACTAGAATTTTGAATGCCTGTGGCAAAATAGCCAAATGCACAATCTGAGTTGAGAACTAATTTAAGTCTAAAAAAAATTAAAAGCCATTGCCTGTTTTTTTCACCAGTCCATCCACTCATGATAATTTGATCTGGGGCCCCTAAATATCATGTCATACTTTCAGTTCTGCAATCTTCGTTTTACCATCATATTTAGTTTTTCCGCTGTTAATTTTCAAGCTTATATCTTCTCCTATTTTTATCAGTTCTTGAAGAGTACTCTGAATAACTTTCTCAATGACTAAGACTATGTCATCTGCGTATACTAGTAACTAGCAAGATATTTCCTTCAACGAGGTTATTTAATGTTTGAGTTCGCGATATTTTCCTTATAATTTTCAGTGCTATATTAAGAGCATTTGTAATATCGCATCCCCTTGTTTCAATTCACTATTAATTTTAAACGAAGATGATAATCCGCTCATCTTGTCTTGACTGCTGGTTTTGGTGTTAGTGTGATACACGGTTGTATCACGTTGATTAGCTTAGTTAATAGATAAAAAAAACTACAATTTTTAAGAATTTTTCATGGTCTTTCTCTGTTTATGCTATCGTAGACATGCTTGTAGTCTGTAAATACCATATTATGTAGATCTTTCGCGAACTCGTATTATTTTCCCATAATTTGTCTTATGATAAATATGTGTTCAGTAGGTAGTTAATTTATTTTTTCTAAATCCGCTTTGGTAGTTACCTACCTATTATATCTCATCTTTATATACTTGAAATCTCTTGAGTACTAAGGTATGATTAATGATAATACCCAGTGTTCAGTATAGTGTTATTCTTCTATACTTAATTCTGGACTTTATTTCGATTATCTCTTTTGGAAATTTATTGAACATATTATCAATGATTTATTCCAGTCTTGTGGTATCTTTTCCTTTTTGAAAATAAAATATACACATAATTAAAAAGCGGTTTTTGGACATGTCTGCAAATAATTATCATATTTTTATTGGTGAAATTATTTTTCTAACATCTAAAATTGCAGAAACTGTTAAATAGCTTCGCATTATTTGGTTTAAGTTCTTTAAATACAATTAAAGTCAGTGACACTTAGGTATACACATAAGATGTTATGAAAAATATTCAGAAAACAACGCTGTTCAAGACTTGTAACTATTTCATTGTGTTTCTACGAGGGTATTTTCCGATTTCACCATGCAGTGTACAGTCTGGTTGACCAGATGTATAGACACGCAGTAAGCTTTGCTGCAGTTTAGGTTGTGGGTTGGTGTGTTATTAGGGGTATAACTTGTGATAGTGTAAGATTGTTACATGATTATTACTTATTAGAGAAAAAAAATTCATTAAATGATAATAATAATTTCACAAGTCCTAAAAACGATTTCACTTTTAACTAAGGTCGTAATATTTACGACTTTCTTCAAAATTTGACCTTGAAATAATTATAAAAAAAGAACTATATTACGATTTATTTTTTTTTTTTTTGGTACTACTTAATACAATTTATTATGAATCTCCTGTTAAATTTGCATGTATTTCTGTTAGGTCAAACAATAAAATTCACATAGTACTGTCCAAAACTACGTAACAAAACTTTCAAACATAAAATGCTCATAAATGTTAAAATTGAATGTTTATAAAAATAATTTTAACTAAATTACAACAAAAAATCAGTGTTCTCTGAGCATGTGTCCTGGTAGCCTTGAAAAAGGCTTATTTTTGACGGCAGGGCCAGGATTTTAATCAAAACTCTAAAATCATTTGTTACAAAATTATTAATTAATAAGTTTACACCATTATCATTATTATTAGTATTTATTTTTTTATTTTACCATAGCCATATGACAAAAAGACAAAATATAAGATAGTAAAATTATTATTTTCGTAAACTTCTTACTTTCCATCTGCGTTTTTTTCGTTATATTCAACTATTATTAAGGTGTCCTAGGATAATGGGGATGGGTACAGCCATTGTTATAGATAATTTTATGTATACCTGTAAACAACAATATACCATTGCTTACGAAAATACGATTCTGAGTGGAGTTCAAATGATAGTGATGCTTTGTTAACAATATATATGTAATTTTAAAGTGAAACAATTAAATATGCTGTATAAATTTTCTTTGATAATATTTGTTTAATGTTCTACCGATTTTCCCAGTTTTCCTGCGTTTTTCCCAGTTTTCTTATGTTTTATCCAGGTTTTTCACATTTTCTGGGAAAACTCTTGAGAAAATCAAAAAATTACCTGTATAAAGTACCTTGCCAGTGAAATTCAATTTTAGAAACATTGCTATCATTAAAAGTTGAAGTAAAATTGCTGATAGAAATGTTGTCTACAGAAAAAAAAATCGTAAAATTTTAGTGATATATTTCGTATATTTTCCTTTTTTTTTCTGGTTTTTCAATTGAGAGAAAACTGATGAGAAAACTCTTGAGAAAATAAAAAAACCCTGAAGTACCTCCTTAAGCCGATTTCCTTTCAGAAAAGGTGCTACACGTAAAAATTCTAATAGAAAAGATGCGCATAGACAAAAAAAAAAAGGAACATCTTTGGAAAATTATATGCTTCTTCGCTCCACCCAGAATCTAAAAAATACAGTGTAAACCAAAAGAAAAACTTTCTTATTGACTAACTAGATTCAAAATATAACAATAATGATCTCTTGTCGTTTTTTATTGGGGCAATATTTTTGGCAAAAAACATAGCAAACAAACTTAAAATAATGAAATCGGTGACACCGTAAATTTTTCAGTTAAAATTTTCTTTTTTTTCCTTAATTATTATGAAAACTATTTGAAAAATCAAAAAACCTCCTTCTTACTCACCAGGCATACGCCTATGACTTATTTCTTAAAAAAGGAAGGACATACTTTGCAATCAGGTGTAGCCACTTTTGTAGGTGGGAAGTTGGGAAGGTAAACGATAAACTATTACTAACAAAAAAAAAAAGGATTCTGAGCAAAATTCAGTTGATAGGGTTACTTTGTAAATAATATATATGTCATATTATAGTAAAATAATTACAAAAAAGTCCGTTTCCATGACAAAAATAATTATTTAAAAAGATTTAAAATAATAAAAACTTAATAATAACAAAGAATAAATAAAAACGGTTGCCAATGACAACTTTTTTTTTAATATTTCAATATTTATTAACCTAAAGAGCCAGGTTTTCCTCATTATCTCGAATATTAATGAGAATTTCAAAAAATAACCTCTTTATAAAGTACCACACGGAGAACATTTCTTTTCAGAAAAGGTACTGTACTTGATAATCAGAGTATGATTTCTAGTAGAAAAAGTATTCACATTAAAAAAAAAAAAAAAATAGAAAAATAAACATCATTGTAAAACCAATAAATTCCTCGCTCCACCCAGAATCTAAAATAAAATATCGTAAAATTTATAGTAAAATATATATAACGGAACACTACCTAAGTAAAAGTTATTTTGATTATTAATTTCTTCTTATATAATGAGAAATATTAAAATGTTTCATACCATTTAATCACTTATAATGGCTTATCCATGACGTGAGATACGTCTGGCATTGGTAATACCTATTTATTGTATTAATAGATAAAATGATTTTAAAATTGATTGTTTTAATATTATAATAAACTAACAACGTAAGTATTAAATTGATCGTTTTTTTCTGAATACCTCAAAAATACCCGTTTAACTCATATGCCCGGATAGCTCAGTCGGTAGAGCATTAGGCTTTTAACCTAAGGTTCCAGGGTTCAAATCCCTGTCCGGGCGGAATTTTTTTTAATTTTTTTTTTTTTTTATAACAAAGTAGGTCAATTATTGAATAAAAGACAATTATTAATAACATATATTATAATTTTATTAAGTAATTAACGATTTTAGTGTTGATCGTATATTTATTTGTGCCATTAAATTAGTAAGGTAAAGCTGATAGAATATGCATTTTTTTTTTTTTTATTATAATTATAATTTGAATAGATAATATTTTTCTAGAAATTTTGATATGCATTACACTAATATCAGACTTACCGTTTATGAGTTATAGCAGTTTAAAGTTTAGACTGGAGGAGTAGGGAACGATCATGGATAGGCAATTTATTACCTTTTCCTAAGTAAGTCTGATATTAGTGTATTGCATATCAAAATTTCTAGAAAAAAATGATTTATTCAAATCTGAGTTTAAAAAGGGGGGGTTCCTATTGGAAAATCCAAAGTATGTACTTATTTAAAGTATATGAAGTAGAGGTAAAAAATTAAAAATGGTTTTAAAATAAAATAT